ATAGTGCACCGTGCTCACTTGCGTCGGCATCAAGAGACTTCTCACGGACATAACCACTCGGCGTCTAGGCCTCGTTCCCGACGGAACTTGGACTTCGACGTAACACTTATCAGAGGATATTGGGGGGGTGGCTATTGGGGGATCAAAAGTGCTGTGGCTGAAGGGTAAACAGCAATCTAATCCAGAACCAGATGGTGGTTCTCCGATCGGACTTCAATCCCACTCATTGGAAGGCTATCCACACGTTATAAAACAAGAACCAGGGAATTCCATCCACAATTCCCAATTCTAGCCAATGTCCCCATCGGCCAAAACAGGGGTACATCCATATCTCCACCAATACTGCTCTGATCAGCATGATCTTGGGTTCTCTAGAAAGCTGTTTTATGCCCCTTTTGATTGATACATAGTGCCTGATGATATTCCTGCCCTGTGCTGCACCCCAGGCTGGCCATTTACAGGTAAATACTAGCTATTGCCCCCCATTCCAGCTGCCCAGACCAGCCCAAATACACCATTCCAGCTATAGTCACCTTCAGCTACCTATTTACCCCAATTCCAGCCCATTATACCAGCCAAAATGCCCACCCGTAGCACTACCTGCACCAGGCTATTTATAGCTAGGTAGGTCCCAGTGGGTCCCTGGCATTGGTTATTACAGCGTAGAGGAGATTCTGTCATTACAAACATCACTTTTAACAGCCCAAAAGGGCTCTGTAATAACTCCACATCACTTTTAACAGCCTAGAGGAGTTTCTGTCATTAAGAACGTCACTTTTAACAGTGCAGCAGAGGTTCTGTCATTAAGAATTCTGTTTTTAACAGTCCAGGGGAGGCTCTGTCATTAGATATTTCGCTTTTGACAGCCCAGAGTGTGTGCTGTCATTAGATATATGCCTATAACAACCCAGAGGGTGTTCTGTCATTAGAGAGTTCGCTTTTAACAACCCAAAGGGTGTCCTGTCATTAGATATGTTGGTTATAACAGCATAGAAGAAGTGCTGTGATTAGATATTTCACTTTTGACAGCCAGGGGATGCAGCTGTAATAATAACAGACACATACATAGTATTACAGGCCTTTGCAGGCCTGTTATTGTTATTGCTTCACCAGGGTTTTCTACAATGAAAACGTGGTGGGCCTCAGCATAATGGACTTCCCAGGTACCTGGGGGATTGTATTACATCTGTGGTGACCACAGGTGCATTTCGTCTGCATCACCCACCTCTCCCGCATCCACGTCGCCTACCTCGCCTACGTCAACACCGCACACGCTTGCATCGTCCACGTCCGAGTCGCCCACATCGCTCGGCCGCATCCGCGTCGTCCCCGCACCCATATTACCGCATTGCTGATCTCACCCACATCCGTGTCGTCCACCTCCCGTATCGCCCACTTCGCCGCACCACCCACCTTGTCCGCTTGTCGCCTGCCTGCTCATCCGTGTCACCACCTTGCCTGCATCGTCATTGCGTCACCTGCGCCGTCTTATCCCGCGCCGCCCGCATGGCCCATGTCAATGGTCGCTTGCTATAGGAGCTTGTTGGAGCAAACAAGGGTGTGGTAATAGACACACCTTTGTTGGCGGTGTAGTTAGACTACGTTAGTTACCAATATATTTCGTCCTTCCTGCACCTCTATATGTGAATCAGTCTGCTGAGTGATGTTAAGCTTCTCACCTGGTTGCAATTGCTGTCCTCGATAGCAAGTGTTTAGTATCAAATTGCAGGAGTTAGAGTGCTAGTATCACACACCTTCAACATCTCCTAATGGGTGTAAATATGCGACCCATTAGACACATTAGTAAGATGTGAGGCCTAATGTGTTTGCTGTTAGGTGTGCTGGTTCTCATGTGGTCTAAATATCGGGTGATTAGACACATTAGACCACATTAGAGCTTAAAGTCTGGTGATTAGATGTGTTAGAGCATAGTAGGACTAATTAGCAATTTGTGTTTTTCCTGATGTCACAAGGGCATCCAAAAGTTCGAAATTTCGGGGGTAGTCACACCTCACATAGTCACACCTCACAAGGGCGAAGTTCGAAAGCATCTCACCTGTACCTCACATCAATCAGGCCGGCTTAGCCCGTGGCACCGGGGGGGGTGGCCCGGGTCAAGTAGACCTGAAACCGTGCTCCCCCGCACGTTTGAAGATTTCGTCCAATAAACCCGAGCTATTTCCCAACAGGGAAGTGCTCGGACGCCCTCCCTCCCAAGTCCCCCAGCCCATCACATGTCCCCATCCTCCAGATCTCCCATCAGTCCGCGTTATCTCTCCCGCCCCCGCCCGCGTTATCTCCCGCGCCCACGCCCACATTATCTCCCGCGTCGGCGCCGCGCGCCTCCCTGCCCCGCCACCTGTGCTCGCTGTGCCCGACAGTGAGCTTGCTGTCCCTGCACCTTGCCTCCCCCTCCTCTCCGTTTCCCTCCGTTCTTTTTGTAATCTACTTGTATTCACAATGCGCACCTAATGGTACACAATTCAATGGCTACACTTGCCTGGGTGTGCCTGCACTGAGCCCTCAAACCTCCCAAAATGCGTGCAATACAGGAACATATACAAGCACTCAACTGACCGGCCAATCTCTGCATCAGATAGTCGTAGATGAGAGCTGCTCTATTATAAAATCGCAGGTGGATAGCTAGAGGGGTGCAGGTATGATGTCACATGTTATTTCAGAATGACATACCCCACAGTGATATGGTATATACATATATCGTCCTATGTACACCCATAATCGTACATAGAGATCATTCAGAGTGTATTGCAAGAAGAAGCAAGTGAATAGACGATGTTGTGGTGAAGATATGACATATGCTCAGAAGGGGGAGTTGGCTTGAAAATGCGGCCTTCATATGTTTTTGTGCAGACCTCTGATCACTTCGAATCTTGTTGCATTACGTTTAAGTGTATGTGGAGAGCTCAGATCGTCGGTTTGGTGCTTATCGGTGAAGGATTGGATACAGGCCATGGTATGTCATTATTCTATGACATAGAGTATAGCGATATGACATGTGCTCCGATTATTATTCTGAAAAGCGGAATAGAACGGGGTGTTTTTCTGCTAAACGATGCAGAAGGAATCTCGAGAAACGATTGAGTAGTCGCCGAGATATGCCATATGAGCTTGAAGTGTGCAAAGTGGTGTAGGTTGTTCAAGGGTGTCCTTTGCGCAACCTGCCATTCTAGACCCATATGGCATATCTCGGCGACTACTCAATCGTTTCTCGAGATTCCTTCTGCATCGTTTAGCAGAAAAACACCCCGTTCTATTCCGCTTTTCAGAATAATAATCGGAGCACATGTCATATCGCTATACTCTATGTCATAGAATAATGACATACCATGGCCTGTATCCAATCCTTCACCGATAAGCACCAAACCGACGATCTGAGCTCTCCACATACACTTAAACGTAATGCAACAAGATTCGAAGTGATCAGAGGTCTGCACAAAAACATATGAAGGCCGCATTTTCAAGCCAACTCCCCCTTCTGAGCATATGTCATATCTTCACCACAACATCGTCTATTCACTTGCTTCTTCTTGCAATACACTCTGAATGATCTCTATGTACGATTATGGGTGTACATAGGACGATATATGTATATACCATATCACTGTGGGGTATGTCATTCTGAAATAACATGTGACATCATACCTGCACCCCTCTAGCTATCCACCTGCGATTTTATAATAGAGCAGCTCTCATCTACGACTATCTGATGCAGAGATTGGCCGGTCAGTTGAGTGCTTGTATATGTTCCTGTATTGCACGCATTTTGGGAGGTTTGAGGGCTCAGTGCAGGCACACCCAGGAAGTGTAGCTATTGTATTGTGTGTCATTAGGTGCGCATTTTGAATACAAGCGATTACAAAAAGAACGGAGGGGAACGGAGGGGAGGGGGAGGCAGGGCGCAGGGACAGCGAGCTCGCTGTCAGGCACAGCGAGCACGGGCACAGGCGGGGAAGGCGCCGGTGGGAGCGCGGCGCTCGGAGATGTCGGGGCAGCGGGGGACACACGTGATGATGGGAGCAGACAGACGTGGGCTCGGCCTAGCTCGGGGCTTGCCGGGCGGGGACTTGTAGAGAGGGGAGGGGACTTGTGTATATGGGGGAAGCGGGCTGTTTCCTTGCAAGGGAATTGGCCGCGATATTCGTAGCGTATCTAGTAGTGGTGGGCATATGGACATTACAGCGATACTATCTATGGTAGGGGGGTGGGATTATCCGGGATCACTGATCTATCAAAACGTGAGGTACAGGTGGACTTGGGAGGGAGGGCGTCCGAGCACTTCCCTGTTGGGAAACAGCTCGGGTTTATTGGACGAATTATTCAAACGTGCGGGGGAGCACGGTTTCAGGTCTACTTGACCCGGGCCACCCCCCCCGGTGCCACGGGCTAAGCCGGCCTGATTGATGTGAGGTACAGGTGAAGCATCTCGTGGGCGCTTGCTAGCACCCACTCGGTTTGGGTGTAAAAGTGCCCAAAACTTGATGATGGGTTCGAAATTTCTGGGCTGTCACGGACAGCCCAGTCAAAGTTCGAATCCACCTGACCAAACTTGCTGTCACGCTCCAAACGGCGGTTCGATCAATTCGAAATGGTACAGTATGCCCTCAATATTAGTTGTTCTATCACTGACTGAGGATCACTCCTCTTTGTGTGCTTACAGTCGGTCCCTGCCTTACTCAGAGTTCATCAGAAGGCACAACAAGCCCAAATGAGACAAATGCCTCATTAAGATGAATATATTATAATAGGTAAGATCACCCAAGTGTGCAACCCACATGTATGGCTGCTCAAGCCCAACTCATATACACTTGTTTCACCTGATCCTTGACTGTGTGTTGTGTCAGACAGCACAGATGAGCAAAAAGGGGCTTGCTTGCTCTAACACACATCCTGCTCGGATATGGTATGACCATTTATACCAGTACAGATGTGACAAAACAAGTATCCGCTCACAAATCCAGATAAGAATGCTAAGGAGAGGCTCAAACAGTAACCCCTGGGACTGAGACCTCCTGTCCTTCCATCACGCCGTCAACAGCTTTATCGTTTGTGGGGAGTACAACATGGGCACGAGACTCCGAAGTGGGGCTGATCGGACCCGTAGACTCGTCGAGCGACGATGTGTCCGATCCGTTGGACAACGGCTCTTGAGGCACGTGTTCCTCTGACGGACGCGTCGAGCCACTGGACGACACGCTGGTCGTGCGTCCGCCGAAGAACCCACCGAACTTACGCGGCATCGGCTGACTCGGCGAGGGTATCGCACCGATGTCTGCCGGAGGGAGCGGGGCGACGGGAGTCGAGGACGGCGTGTTTGGCTTGCTCGCCCCCGCCTCCGCGGTCGTCGTCCACAACTTGAACCCCCAGCGCGAAGCGGTACTGGGCTGCTTCGAGTGCGATGGGGAGGACGCAGAGGGCGCGACCACGGCAGCGCTCTTGACAGTGGAGGGAACACCGACGTTGTTGTCGGATATGAACGTGCGGAGGGCGCGCACACAGAGCTCCGATGCTTCGTGGGCCTCTTGGGACTCGGTGAGATCGCGCTTGAGGTTGTCCAGTTGTTGCTGCAACGTACGGCACTGTTTTCGCAACGACTCGACCTCGAAGGGGCTTGCTGACGGCTCGGGCTGTGGGGAGGGACCGCGACCAAACAGCAGCGACATGCGCTTGTTTGGCCGCTCAACCGGAGTTGCTTCCGGGTCTTCGGGTATGAGGGGAGAGCGAGGAGAAGGCGGGGGCCATGTTGAGGGTTCACCAAGGAGGCTGGCATCGGACACAGACGATATCCGACGGTGTGCGCGCCCTGCGGCAGAGCCGGTGAGGGGTGCGAAGGAGGCTCGTTTGGACGACGGGGGGCCGTTAAAGGTGAGGTGTGGAGGGGGCGACCTAGAGAGGTCGAGAGACAGGTTGGACACCTGGCTCATCCTCTTCTCCGTCTGAAGTCTCATGAGAGCGCGTCTGGAGGCATCGTCAGAGAAGACGCAGAGGTCAGAAACACGGGAGAACGCACCGGCTTTCCTCTACTTTTGACCGCAACATCGCTATCGTCTCCTCATCATCCTTATGCTGGGCAGTCGCACTCTCCAGGTCGTTCTCCATTTGCAAGCATTTGTCGGCGACATGGTCGAGGGTCTCCCGCATGCCCTGCTCTCTTGTCTGGGCTTCGGTGAGCTTCTCCATGAGGACATCGCGCTCTCTGGAGGTGCCAGCCAAGGACTCGCGGAGCTGGGTGACGATAGAGGCGAGGACGTTGACATCGAGGGACTGGGGCCGGAGGGGATTAGGCGAGCTGGGGAGAGATTCTGCCTCGAGCTGCCGTTCGAGTTCGAGGCTGAAGTCTATGGAGGTGGGGCGGTTCGAGTCGTTGAGGAGTATCTGGGGCGAGTCGGGGAAGGAGTCTGACATGGCGGAAGGTGAGAGAGCGGAAAAGAGTAGTCGTGAATGGTCGTTAAGAGGCTCGGCGGGGGTGTAGGCGTGAATGGTGGCGGGCACAGGACGGCTGCGGGCGGTGGGACGCGGCGAGAGGGAGGGGGCTCAGAGGAGCATCGCAGTGCGGTTGAAACACCGGACGGGCTCTCGAGCCCCACTCGTCTAACCGGGTTGCCCTCGCCCTGGTTGCACGTCTCGCTCCCACCCCGGCTCCCGTTTTCCCTCAGCCGAGCGATTCCCTGATGGCCATCCGCAGCAACGCCACGCGTAGGCTTGGTGGCCAACAAGCAGAACTCAATAAACCGATTGTACTCTACCACATACATATCCAAACCACTTTCGTTTGTTCCTTTATCCGTGTTCCAACATATCTGCTCAGCAGTATCGTACACTCGACCCCTTCCACGGCGTCCGTCGGCCATTGTCCATCGTCTAACCTCACTGGTGCGTCAACGGATCGACGCAGACCACCCCGTCGCGCTCGCTCCAGGGGTATCCCCACATGTGCAGCCACTCGCGCACGCCCGTCGCGAGCCTCATCCGAGATGCACCCCGAGCAGGATCTTGAGTCCCCGTGTGCTTTTCTTCGCCGACAACGATGTAACCTGTGTATCTCTGTCAGCCCCATCCGTTTCCGCGATAAAGCCCGGTACTCACTGAGACCATAAAATAGCTCTCTCTCCAGCTGCAGATGCCATGTCAGCCATTTGCAATCGCCCGAAAATGCGTCTCTCGTACCGCAAGCAGGAACTCCTCCAGCACCTCCGTGGCCTCCGCGGCATGCAAGCCATGCAGGTCGAGGAGAACTTCGGTGCGTTCTTCCGGAGTCATCTTAGTATCGCCGCTGGACGATTGACTGGCAATGCCGAGACAGACCCCGAGGCCCGCTCCGTAGATGCGTCCACGAGCCGTCCGATCGCCTGGGTCATCCGACCAGCTCGCATCCCGGCCCCGCACAGCTTGCTCCGCCAGTCTAGCACGCTCTCTAACGAGCTTGCCTGCGGCTTCGACCATCTCCGCCGCCATTTTCGCGTTCAAGTCGTGACCTTCCCTGCTGAAACGCTTTGCAGCCGCTCCATCGCCACGTCGCCAAGCATCTGCGGCGCGAGACAGGCATGCGTTGCGGGCAGCACCGAGACGCAGAGCCCTACATCTGGTCAGCGAAGCATATTGACAGAGAGCGGGGCATCGCGCTCACCTCTGACGATAGGCCATGTACAGGTTGTTCACAGACTCGCCGGTCGGGAGCGTCGGCAGCAGCGTAGGAGAATGGAGTTTGAGTCGTGGAGACGGTTTGGGCGCGACAATGGCTGTGTTGGGATGCAACGGCTCTGCCGAAGCACCCATCGCTTCTCTGCGAGCGGCAAGAGTAGCCGGGTCCTTGGGAGTTTGAAGTTGCGGGTTCGGTGGAGCCTTCTTGACAGCCGCTGCAAACCTGGTGCGGCTTGGATCGTAACTGGAAGCATCTCCTCGGCCATATCCGTAGCCGCCGCGCCTGTTATCGTTCTGCTGCCCTGCCGCGGTCGAGTGGCCAAGAGTTGGAAATTCTTCGAGGGAGGTACTTTGAGCTTGCTCTTGAGAGCCGTTATGAATATCGACTCTAGCCATGGCATGACCCAAGCCATTGACATCTATCTCCTGAGGAAGGTGATGCAAGAATTCGCAGTTCTCACCCTTGGCACAAGTGCCCCGAAGCCAGAAGCGACACAGCGCTCTTTCGAGATCATGGCTACTCAATGGGTCAGGAGTGGACTATGAGGGGAAAGCGAGGGATGCCGACCTGAACCTGCAATCCGCGCGCAGACACTCGCCGGCAAGGAAGTACCTGCAAACGCGATTGCCGCCTTGAGCTGGACGCCCATTGACAAATCGACCTCCGTTGCGACCCTGGGGACCGTTGAACGACGCTCTCCCTCCGCGCACTCCGTTTCCATCGCGTTGGACAAGTGTAACCCGATTGCCGACGGACTGCATGCGGGGCTGCGACGGATTGGGGTGACTGGCCATGGAACGGTCCACAAGCCAAGACATCGCGCGTTCAAAATCGTAACCGTTGGCGGCCAGGGCTTCTTCCAGTTCCGATGGTGCGAGCGTTGCACCAAAGACAGAGCTGAGTACGTCAAACGGCGTCATACCGTCCGTAAGCATCGCCGTAAACTCGGGGTCGACATCCTCTTGCTGGTTCTGGCGAGGGGCTTCCTGCGAGCGGGCATTGTGGTCCATGCTCCCGAAGACTTGAGGGAAGAGAGAGTCGTCTGCTGATAGAGACGACCCCGCAATAGGAGAGTTGCCCCACATCATGTCCTCGGAACTACTAGGATGGAAAGACCGAGGGAGGTCCCGAGTCGCGAACGGGTCAAATGGATCGTCGTCTTCGTCATCAATGCGCATGGACGAACGAAGCGAGGAGTTCGGGGTAGCGGAGCGTTGAAGGAGAGAAATATCCGGCGTGAGAGGGGCGGCGATCGCCAACTTGGAGGTTGGGCGAGAGGGAGGAGCCCAGAGGTCCGGAGACGGGGTGTCGCCACGCAAGGCAGCGAACGAGCTAGGGTTCGACGACGCGGCAGAGAGGGGCCGGGGTATGGGCCGGAACTCGTGGGCCTTTGCATTGAGGAGTCGAGGAGAAGAAAGTGGAGAAGACGGAAGACTGACGGCGAATTGAGCGTGCGTCATGATGGGAGACACGCCAGGGGACTCGCTGCGGGCAGTAATGTATGAAGAAGATTGTCCCAAGGTACCAAGAGGCGAAGTAAGGGGCGTGTGTGGCCTGCGGAAAATCATGGCGAGCGGAGAGCTTGGGGCCGAGTTGGGTGTATCGGGGCGATTGGGAATAAGCCGGGCAGAATGGGTGGAAGCGCGAGAGGAAGGGCGGGAAATCGGGCGGCGAGTGGGAGTCAAGAAAAGAAAGGGGACGTTGTCTATGTCATCTCTATGTTTGTGCATGAGGTCGAGTACGTGCTGCTCAAGCTGGGGGGGGGGGGGGGTGACGTGAGTGAAAAGAGGAAGGCGAAGAGAGGGGACTGGAACTAACATCTTCGTCGCCGATGGGGCCGAACATGTCCTTGAGAAGGACCTTGAGCTCATCCTCACACTCGCCATCGAGGAGGCCGACGACGCGTCCGATGAGGGACGAGCTAAGAAACGAATCCGGGTCGTTGTCTGGGAACGCATCAGGCTTGTAGAGACGGGCGATGGCGGCAAGCTGGGCGCGGGTGTGCGGGAAACGGGGCGGAAGGGCATGGTCGTGGTCGTGGTGGATGGCAGTGACCGAGTCGGAGAGGGAGCTGAGGCTGGAGGCGGGGCGGAGGAACGCGATCGAGTGGGGGCCCAGGGTAGCGGCCATGGTGATCTGACACGGCGGGGGCAGGCCCGGGACTAGCACGCGGAGAGAGGAGCGGCAAGCGAGGGCGCAACGGCGGACGCAAGGATCATCGAGTGCGCTGGTGGTGTGAAGCCGTGGGCGGAGCCAGCGAGGAGGACGGGGACGGAGACGATGCGGGGAGAGCGACGGCTCGCTCGATGGTCGCTAGCTCGCTGCTGAATACAGCCCCGCACGGCTGCATGGGCGCCCGTCGCCGGGGGCCCGACATGCCTTTTCCCTCCTAGCCCCGCATGCTCCCTCGCTCGCCAAGCAGCCTAACCGCTCACCCACATCCAGTGGCATCAAAACCTCCAATCCACTGCCTGGCTACATACATACACACATGCTGTCCGTCTACTCTCCAGCTCGCCTCCCATTCAACGTCGCCATCGAGTCCCGTCGCAAGTGCAGACCACCGTTCGGGGCAGGCACCCCGTCCCCGTCCGGCGCCCGGTTCGGGTGGTCAGGGATCTCGGAGATCTCTGCCTTGGCCTCCTCCCATGCTTCCAGGTTCTGCCATCCGTCGTCAGCCATCCGTACCGGTCGGGCTTATTCCACCGCAGCTGCTGCTCACCTTCTGGCACCAGTCCCGGTGGCTCCGAGCCATACTAATAGCCATCTCTCGCAGATCCGCCACCTTCTGCCGCTGGAACCGATCCAGGTCCGCTTGGATCGTCGAGCTCGCATATTTGAGGTCCTGTGCAGACAGGTGCAGCGCGTCCTCAAGCTGTCGCGAGAGACACGTTCACTTCGGTTGTCACGGGCCCCTTCGCATCACTCACCTGCGAAATCGTCTCCCTCGTCTTCGTGATTGAATTCCGGCGAGCCGTCTCCGGGTCCACGTCCATCATCCCGTGTAGCGTGTAGCTCAGTGCACTCAAGAATCCCATCCCTGGTGCTCTCCGCCGCACTGGGTTTGGTCCAGGGTGAGGAGGTAGGTACGCCGACGCCGACTCGTCTTGCCGCCTAGCCTCGTTCTCGTTGACCTCATTTCCCTCTTGTGGGGCGTTTCCCTCAGCTGGAGGCGTCGTCCGTGATGTGCTCGACCGTCCCGAGTTGAGAGCCTCCTCCAACCGTCGCGCCTCCCGTTCATTCTTGTCCAGTTCTTCGAGCTGCTCTCGCCGAGCCTCCAGTGCTTCCTGAGTCATTTCGTTCTGAACGTGTTTCTGGTGCCGGTACTGCAACAACTTCTTGATAATAGACGCAAACTGCGCGTATTCGTGCAGTGGTTCTGCCCAGTTCTGCTCGAACTCCTGTAACTGTGAAGGGATCGCGTCAGAGCAGCACAACATCTCGTCTACGACGGAACAAACCAGCTTCATTGTCGAAAGGTGGTTCGCGTCGATCGCCTGTCCAGTCTTCTCGATCGCGGTCGAAAGCTGGCCGGTCTCGTTCAAGCTAAAGCCGTTTAGTGTAGCACCGAGCTCCGTATGGTCTTGAGCAAGGTCTATAAACATGTCAGCAAAGAACATCTTCAGAATACCGTCAACACTGACCGGACCAGCGCTTCATCGTCCGTCTCGTCACCTTCTCCATTGGCCCGCTCATGTGCACCGCAAACTTGTTTGTGAATCCCTCCGACTCCAGGAACCTCTGATCGGGTCTTCGCAAAGGATGGGCTGCCGAAGGGTTAGAGAGTGCAGCATACGCGGGAGCGGCATTCTGGTCAGTGGGGTTGTGCGAAGGTGCCTTCAGGATGTTCTTCGGTAGCAGGGAGATTGGCGGCGAGTTGAGCACTTCCGTCTAGAGCAATGAATTTGAACTCAGCGACGGATCATATTGAACTAGGACTGAGATGCGTACCCATGAAACTTCACCATCAAGGAACCTGTGGAAGACATGCTCGTTGGAGAGGATAGGGTGGCGAGCGATGCGGTTGAGGAACGTCTGGAGCATGCGCTTCCTCCTGGAAATCATGGCCGCGTCCTCCTTCGCCTTGGCTTGTTTCACAGCATAATCCCCGATCGTCTGCTTGGAGGGTATGGGAGGGATGATGAGCGTGGGGTAAAGCTTGACGAGGTTGGTGCGCAGAGACTCGAATTCCGAGTATCTATGGTGCGATTCCGCATTCTACTTGAATCTCAGCCTTATGCGCACACACTGAATGAATCCCACTGTACTCACGCCGGCACGTATGACGTAGGTGATGTACGGCGAAGTTGAGTTGACTGAGGTCTTGAGCGCATCAGGAATCTGTTTCCCGGTGCGGCAGAGCGGTTGTTGAGTATAGGAATGAATACCAGAAGGATTTGGGACGTACCAGAATCTCAACGTCCTCGCCAGAATGCAGCCAATGATCTCGTCCGCAGCAGAAGTCACTCTTGTATGCTTGGGGCTGCCTGTGCGTCCCAGCCGAGGGGAACGTACCGCGCCCCGTGGGCGAAGTTGGAGGTGACGGCGTGCGCACTATTGGCTCCACGAAGGGGGGAGATGGGACGGTGGGGATGTCGACCCGGGAGGAGGAACCGTCGGACTGGAGCCGCTCGGGTTCACTTTCGAACGGGTTCTCGTCCTCGAAGACCTCCATGGTGGCATAAGATGCGGTTCGCGACTCGAGAGGGTGTATGTGAGGACAGCCAAAGGAGACGGGAAGGGATGCTCAGGCTGGGCAGTGACAGAAGGCAGGAAGGAGCCGCAGTAAGCGAGCCGCGACCACCACCGTACCTGGGCGCCTCCTCGGACGTCCCTTCATAATAATATCCGACAAAGCCCGCGGAGTGCGCGACTCCCTAGAACGCGAGAAAAAGCAGTGTCATTACAGTAGACAGCGTATATCATGACAGGTATGTCCTGGGTGCAAAACAGACAAAGCGACGAAGACGACCAGACCACTGACATACATACTCCATACAAATACAATGCAACACCGGTTGTACCAAAGTGTACACTCTACATTAACTCACTGCATCCCCATCTGTGCAACAAAGTCCTGCCAAGCTGCTTGCATGTTCGTCTCGGGAGAATATGATCTGCCTCCGGCAGAGTATTCGCCGCTGTCCATAGGAACCGGCGATGGGATGAACATTTCTGTTTGCGGGCCTCCGCTGCCGACATGTCCGTAGTCGAAGACAGGGAAATACTGCGGGAACATGGGATTCAGACCTTCCACTTGAAGACCAGGCAGCTGTGGTGGGTGCTGTGATGCCTGCTGGTATGCATCCGGCCCTGGGAACTGCGCCGACATAGGCTGCAAGGAATGCAAGTTCTGAGGCTGTTGCGGCTGATAGTGCGTGGGGGAGACTGGTCCACCGTTCATCCGTGCTGGCTGTGACGGCCCTGCTTGATTGGACATCGCTCCAGAGGGTACATTCGGCGGTGAGGGGACGAAGGTTCGAAGGTATTGCAGCACGTAGGGGTGAACCTGTTGCTCTTCCGGTTGCTTCAGCGGCAGAGGCACGATGGGGTTCAGCGACGTCGGGGAGCGATCCGTGATTTGGGGAGACATGGACTTTTCCTTCTGCTCAACCAGTCGTGTCCGCCCTCCGAGAATGTTCAGCTCGTCGTTATCGTCAGCAGGAGTCGTGGGCTCGGAGACCGCGCCGACTCGAGACGGGGGAGTATTCCTGTATTGCGCCAAGCTTGCGTGCGCCCTTTCACGCAGATTGAGCATGATGTGCTGCAGCAGTTGTGAGAATTGGGTAGCACAGGTGACCGAGCATAGTAACGTACCAAGACCTTCTCCGCATGGAAGGACTTTGCGGTCTTCGAAAAGAGATCGCATGCTGAATCGAGCTGAACCAAAGCTGAAGGCGCCAGACTCATGGAAGGACAACGAGTGACGATGGAGCCCAGGATGATCTAGGAGCGCACATGGCATCAGCCAGCAAACACAAACATGATATCGTGAGACCTACCGAACAAGAGAACAAGTGCGTCCACAAAAACCACATACGCTCCGTGAGCTCCTTCAACTGCGAGTGTATGTTGCGAACCAAGGCAACTAACGAGCCGGCGCTACGGTAGGCAGCAATAAACGAGCCACCGTAAGGACTGCCAAGTGGATCTTTAGGATGATCGCTGATAGCGCGGGCAAAGAACCCCCGGTGCATGTAGAGTAAGTCTGGAGGACACGACGAGTCAACAAGGGTGGGGTTGTGCGCTGAGAAGCTACTCACTGGACTCTCGAATCGCCAGGACCAAGTGACGCTGCAAGATCAAGGGAACACTCTCATAGAAATTCCCGACTCTAGACTCCGAGTTGCCGAAGCCGGCAATCTGCAGAGAAGCCGGGACAGGGAACCCTCGCAACTTGCGATCGAGCTGTAAAACAGTGCTGTACGTCGGCGTTTTTGCCCCGAATGCCTGGTCGTACACAACATTCATGCATTCCGAAGTAAACCGATGCTTCCACCAGTGGACTGACAGATGATAGCGATTAAGCCAGGAGTTGTGAATACCGAAACGTATAACTTACACGTTTCTTCGCTGCAAGGATCATCCTGGTGCGGCTTCTTACAGTCGACGTGCGTGAGGGTAAATGACGGGGGTCGGCCTAGAGTGTAGGACTAGCCACGAATTCAACTACAAGGAAAGTTTTATGGGAAGATGCCATACCTGGAGGAGATCGTACGAATATAGCTCCCAGAAGCTTTCCCGTCGCCGTTGGATTTCAGCCTGGTCGACCTTCCATTTACCTGCGTCACGGTCTGGCAGGGCCGTCAATCAACAAAATTCCCTTGAAGCGCTATAAATCACTCACGAAGCCCCATCTAGCAACACAAATCCTGTGTTCAGTGGGACGAAATTAGCGTGTAGGAAATCACTCACGCTAACACCCAGTTTGACCGCCAGACCCATAAACGCCCACCTCGAGCCGACACCTGAACCATGACGTTCGCTCAAGAACAGGTAGAATGCCATCAAGTACTGAGCAAATAGAAGTTACAAACCAAACTATGTTCCAACACAAGCATTTACGCACGAGGGTCTGAACCGCAGCCAGTGTTGGCTCTTCAAAGATTGGACTTTGGAACAATGCAGCCCGAGCCAGCTGGTGGTACTTCTCAGCCTCGATGTTGTATGCCGGGCGAGTGATGTCCATTAAACTGCCGATGGCGAGGACCATAAACATGAGGGCCAGTTGATGTGACATGAGTGGATCGTCCATCGATGGGGTGGTGTTGGGATTGTAGAACTGATTGAAAGCGGCCTCGTTAAACTGAGCCATCGAAACCGGATTGTACCTAAGCAAATGGATGAGATCAGACCCGAGATGCGACACAGTTACAAGGTGCGTACATCCACGCTGCATGCTGAAAATAGTTGTTGCGAAGTTCGTTTGCCTCGTCCATAGGGGGAAGATACCAGAATAGACTCCGAAGGCGTTCGATCTTCATAGTTTCCGCATCCACAGTGAGAGGAAGACTGGGAGCGACAGGGAAAAGACCGCTGAGAGCAAGGACTTCTGCAGATAGCAGCTTGCGCAGGTTGATCAGGCGTTGGTCCCTATCATCATCCTTATTGTCTTCGTTCTAGTTGGCGTAATGGATGATGAGTTACAACGCGCAGCAAGGGCGGGAGATACTGACTGTCAAATAGTACTATGAAAAGGGGGGCCATCAGACAGAGGTCTGGCGAATGTGTCCGGAGAGGAGACGTACCCACGAGCTGGTCGCTTGGCCGAAGTAATTGGTGCGGCCAGTGTCGCTGATAGACAAGGAGCCGAAGGAATCGACAACGTCAGCCCCAGGCTCTTCTGGGGAGCCATTTTGAATGCCGGTGCTGATGAGGTTTTCTCGCTGGATGGGGGCTTTGATGCGGAGGAGCTCTTCGGAGAGAAGAGGATGAGAGTCGGTGGAGTGGAGGGTATGGGAGGCGCGAAGAGCGTCTTCCAGCTCGCGGACACGGTTTGCGAGCTGGTTTATTTTCTCGTGGAGATCTTGGGTGGAGGCAAGGACGAATCTAGGTGCGCTGAGTGAGAAGTGAAGTAAGAGGGTGGACGGATGAGAGGGGGCAGACTGACCGATTGCCCTTGCCGGTGGTAAGGGAGCCTAGGGGACGAGGAAAAGGATAAAGCAAGCTCTGACCGAGAGGGAGAGAGGGCGTACCGTCGGGGCAGATAGCAGCGCACCCTCGCTTGACGCAGGAGCCACAGGGGATGCAGCGATCGCAGCGCAGCTTAAGCCTGAAGCAGGGGTGAGGGCGGATCGCAAGAGGCCGGGAAGGACGGACCTGCGGCACTCTGCGCAGGAGAGGCGGGTCGCGCCGCGCTTGCGCTTCTTCTCGCCGCCGGCGGGGTCGCGGGGCGAGGAGTCGGGGGCGAGGAGGGAGAGGTCCTGGGAGGACATGGAGGCGGGAGGAAAGGAAGGCGCGGGTGGCGGATGTACGAAGGCGTATAAGAGCCCCATCCGAAGCTCGTCTGGCTGTCAGCCGCCGCCAGGGCTCCCCGCGGCTGGTGCCCGCCTCCTCTGCCCGCCCGCGCCCTGCGCACCTCCGGGCCCTCTTCGCTCGAGCACACGCACATACGCCGCGCCCGCGGACGAGCGTCGCCCCAGCCGCGCTCGCGCCCTTCGCTGCAGATAACCGAAGCGCCCGTGCTCGATCGCACCCATCGCGCGGGCGCCCACATCGTTGCCCCCTGCGCAGAAGCGCGCGTCGTCGCCCAGGCAGACACGGTCGTCTGTGCGAGCAGCGTACTGGTAAGTGTGCTGCTCTGCCATCATCGCGCACGCCGTCATCTCCGTCCGCCGACTGTCTGGAGTGCGCCCGTTGAGAGCCGGCCCCAGTGGCACCGGCCTTGTCCACACCGCCGTCCCCCGCCCCGAATTCCCGGCGCCGGCTCCCGGCCCGCCCAGGCGCCCTCCTCTCCAATTTTTCACCCTGAGCAGCCCCGTTCTCTTTCTCCCACCCAACATCCACTCGCTCCCCCCCCCTTGCTGGTGAGTGCATACTTCCTATCGCCTCCTTTTTCGGGATGAACTCTTAGATGACGAGTCCGAAGTGTTGCGAACGAGCTTCTCCGCCGCGACAGTCCTTGACGACACCTTCTCAATACCATTCATGCTTTTCTGACTCTCTTTCCGTACCCGCTCCTCCAGTCGCTCATTCGTTTCTTTCCAGCATCCATGCCTCCACCTGCTACTGTCGATGACTCCTGGTCGGACTCGGACGATGGGCTCGATGCCGACGTCGAGACCGCCGTCCAACTCGGCGTTCCTGACGGGCCCCTCGAGTCGACGGCCGATATCGTAGACCCCGCTGTATCGCGAATAGGTGGTCATCCCGTACGATGCCCCTTCGCTCCTCCATGTACCACCCCCGTATTGATGAATCGTCAATCCATCCATCCCGTCGCGCCCTCTGCCCGCACAGGCCTTCCTGTCTGCCCCGCCCCCCATCGATCTCAGCCACTGCAAGGTGTGCTCCGCTCCGATGCCACTCGCCATCCAAATCTGGTGCCCGCTCGAGGACAGCCCCCACGACCGCGTCCTCTTCGTCTGGGCCTGTCCGGACGGCCCCTGCCAACGTAAGGAGGGAAGGTGAGTGATTCGCCCGCGATGCGCGGAGAAATCCCCATTGATCGCTACGATCAGCGTCCGAGCCTGGCGCGAGCTCAGGTTCAACGCGACGTACGCAGCCAAGCTCGAGAAAAAAGCGGCGCGGCAGAAGGAAGTGGAAGCCCAAAAGGCAAAAGTCGCCGCCGAGGTCAGCGCGAACCACGCGACGCCCAAGACCAACCCCTTCGCAGTCAGTCTCCCACGACAGCGCCGGCGGACACCAGCTCACGTCTCGTCGTTCAGCTCGGGGCCAGTTCTGCTCCGAATCCCTTCGGACTTGGTTCCGCCGTCTTCGGCAGCCCTGCTCCTGAAGAAGACTCCGATGCGCCCGGGACAACCTCCGCATCCGCTGATGCGTCGAGTGATGATGTAAGGGACGACAGCGAGGACGACGACGAAGATTCAAGCGACAGTGATAGCGACGACGACAGGCTCGCTGCCACCCTCCAGGCAGCTTCTCTGGACGATTCTCCGTGGAAGACCGCGCCAGCGTTTCCGCCGCTCTACCTCTCAACAACTTCAGAGTACCTCCCTCCGCCACCCAAAACCAAACAGATCGCAGACGCGATGCTTGACACCAACGGAGACGCTGATTCCAAAAGCAAAGGCGCGAGCGCGTGGGCCCCGGAAGGTTACGAGAACTCCATGGACGTCGACCAAGCGTTTGAACGGTTCAGCAAACGCGTTTCCTATGAAGGCGAACAGTGTCTACGGTATGTTTACCTTGGTGTTCACGTTCAGCCTCCAACACATGCTCACATCTTCCCAGGTACGAACTGGGTGGAACCCCATTGCCGTATGCGAGCGACAAGGTATTCAATGCACTCTTCCCTGTGCCCCCTTCGCCCCCGTTGCCTGTTACGAAACCGGGTTTCATGATCACCACCGCTCGAAAACGGATGTATGTCCCCGAAACACTGCCGGTGTGCACAAGCTGCAAATCGCGCCGGGTATTCGAGTGTCAGTTGATGCCAAATCTGATCAACACGCTCAAGCTGCCTTCAAAGGGGGTTCAAAAGCCCCAGTCTAGCGAGGAACGCCGTGCGGAGGTCCTCAGGGCGCTCAAGGGTGGGGGAGAGGGAAGTGGGATGGAGTGGGGAACGTGTATGATTTTCTCTTGCCAGAAGGATTGCACTGATGTCAAGGGCGCGGATACGTGGCGAGAGGAGCATGTACTTGTGCAGTGGGAGGAATGAGCCCGTTGAGGCAGTAGGCAATCTGTCGTTGTATCACCACCAGCCATCGTATGCGAAATCAGTTGTGTCAGCTGCGAGTTGCGGCAAGCGGCGACCAGGGGTTCACAGTCCGAAGTACGACAACATACATGAATAACATAGGTTACCATTGTGCAAGCCGGCGTTTGGAGCGGAAAGAGGACAATAGAGATGACGTTGTATGCTAAACAAGTTGCGCGCTGAACCGCGAGATGGCAACAGCACCGCCATCTCGACGTCCGAGCTCTCCTCCGCTACTCTCCCCTGTCGTCCATCTTGAACACTACGCTCACCATTCACACCCAGCCATGTCTGCGAAAAAACTCAGGTCCAAACTCGACATCAAGTTCATGCTTCCTCTTGGGCGGGGGAACGCAGCTTCACGCACCCCTCCGCCTGGCATCTCCGCAGACTTCAGCGAGAAGATGTTCCGCCAAAAGCCCCAGGAACCGCTGCCTCCTCCTCCTCCTCCTCCTCCCAAGGACATATCCACGCGCCATTACTCCCTCTACAACCCTACCGGCAGCAACTGGGATGACGTCCGGTACGCAGTCATGGCGTCCCCGATCTCCGAAGACTCGCCCTCCCCAGGCCTCGACGACAGCACCAACGTCTTCATGCGCCGCCAAGCCACCGCGCCCCCTTCCTCTCTCCCTCCCACTCCCACCCCAGCCAAGGCGGCCCACACCCGCTCTGCGACGTCCCGCATCCCCGTGGCATCCACCCGGGTCGGCACGTACTCCCGGCGCACGGTCTCTAGCCCGGAAGAGAACGATCTCCGCCGGCGCGAGGCCCAACGGCGCAAGGAGCTCGAGGAGAAGGAGGCCATGCGAGAGGAGGCCGAGCGCCAGGCCCGGCTGAAGCGCGAGAAGGAGCAGATGCTGCAGCAGGCGGCGCGCGAGGACGAGGCGCGCAAGGTTGCGCTCGAGCAGGAGCTGCGCAGGGCGGCGGAGGAGCGGCGGAAGCGTGAAGCGATCGAGAAGGAGGCGGAGGCTCTGACGGCGATGGTTGCGGCAGAGAGGAAGCGGCAGGAGCGGGAGAAGCGGAAGCAGGAGACACAGAAGCTGCAGCGCATGCGCCAGGACCTGGAGGAGCAGCGGCTCGCGGAGCAGCGGGAGCGGATGGGCTGGCGCGAACGGATCGCGAAGGAGCGGAGCGCCTTGGCTTCTCGTCTGGAGAAGCAGAAGACCAAGAACAGTCGCGGTCTTACTGTTCTCTTGACTGGCTGGTTCACCGTTCAAAGCGAAGACCTGCTCTCCTACAAACGGCGATATTTCCAACTGCGCGAAGACGCTCTGATCCTGTACAAAGACGCGGAGGTGAGCGATAACTCAGAGCTCGTACACCGGTTGTTGACGAAGGAATCCAGGACGATTCAAAGGCGTTGGAGACGATTCAACTGTCTCGCATACGTCGTATCCGAGAAGCGCAAGACGGGTTTGAGGATTTGCAGGCGATTCCCTACTCGTTCGCGCTCGAAATTCAAGGCCACCATGACGCGTGGAGCATGTTCACAGATTCGAACGAGGACAAGGTGAGTAGCCCTTTGGGGTGTCGCTGGTGGCTCGCTCATTTGTTATGCAGGAGAATGTGCTCGCGCTTCTGAGTAGCCGCCTTGCCTCGCGCTCGCGATGAGAGTACTCGCATGCGTTCAGTCCCGTGTATTCAGTCCCGATGCCTGGTGTTATGTGTATGTAATTATGTAGCCCATACCCTCTATTACGGATACCTTGTAGACTGTATGCCATATTTTCTATCACCGGAGATTCTCTAGAGACCACTGGTATGCGAAGCCATCGTCCAACAACTCGTGTGAATGCGGCCGTGCCAAGCGCTTTGGTCGCTTGAGTAGTGAACCCGTCTTACGCTTGACCTCCATTCTACTCTCTCAACTACACATTTCTTGACTGTCTTTCAACCAAATGGCGGGCTGGCTATCAATCGTTGCTTCCGTTGGTATGGCCGTCGGGCCGCCGCTGGTATATGCGGACCAAGCGTACTCGATTGTCAAGAAACAGTGCGCAACTCCACGCTTATTCCCGCTGCTTCGTCGGCTGAGCATGCCCAGAGACTCTACAGGCTTCTCGCGTGATGTATGCGCAATACTGTGAGATAAACCCGCTTGCCCACGTCACAAGTTGATTTACGGGTATGGTCACACAAGTCTCCTGGCCAACATTACACGCTGTTTCTTCTGGCTGGGAAGCCGCTTCGAGATGGCATTGCTTGTACAGTCTCTGTTGATGATATTGGCTCAAGTAAGTCCATTCACATCGTCATGAACATATTCCCAACACGCGGTGGTGCACTCCAGCTCGTCCTCCTGTATATCTGTATCCGCTTCCGCCCCAAACTGAGCCCCGAGAATTTGGGGGTGTCAATCCGCCCACTCTCTTTCTGGCAATGGTCGAACTACACCCAATATCTCGAATTTCTGGTCGCGTTCGTGTAAGTCGAGTTCCTTCCATTCAGCGCGTACTCGACCACGAACTGACTCGCTCTGTACAGTCTCTGTCAAGCTATTCTTTTCCTCATACTGGGCCGGTCCTCGACATATGTCTCAGCCCTTGGATTCGTGGCTCTGGGGCTCGAGAGCACACTGCCAATTCCTCAACTTATCAGGTCAGGGTTTTACCAGCCACTAAACATTGTAATGCTGAATCTTGATACAGTAACTACAAGCAACGTTCGTTGTATGGCTTCCGTATGTCCACATTGGTTGGCTGGTTTGGAGGAGATGCTTTCAAGTGAGTGCAGCAGCCAAGACCCTGATCTGACTGGACCGACGGGCCTCGTTCAGGACGGTGTACTTTTTCCTCCAGGAGTTACCGCTGCAGTTCAAAGTATGCGCTATATTCCAGCTTTCGATCGACTGTGGTATGTGTATCTCTCCCCTCGACTGTATTCATCATTGCTGACGCCTCTTGCGCAGCGATTGTAATCCAGCGATTGATGTACGGGAACGCGCCGCCGCCGACGGTGCTCATGGACGATGACGACGTTGAGCAGGCGTTGGCTCTGGAGGAGTAGGAACGAGGGTCCTGGGCGTGTAGCAGTGTTATTCATTGGTATATAGAGCAGCTAATTGATCATGGAAGTGCGCACATAGTAGGAGAACGGCGGGCCGGGTGTCCGAGAAGAACGCTCTACACGCATCTTATATAGCAAAGATTTAGGCTCCAGCACTAGACTGGGTGCCAAGCAGCGGGGTTTTAATGGGTACACGGAGGACAGTCAGAAGACCCTCCGATTAAAAGAGTCCCACCCTCAGTGCGTAATAGCATTTTTTCGTGTGTATACAGTAAGGGCACTGAGGGCGGAGCTTCCTACTAGCCCTTCCTGAGTGAGCCACCTAAAAAGCAAGCCGGTTGTTTCGTTACAATCTGGACTGGCCTGAAACGCCTGCAGGGGCGAAACATCGGTTTACGGTAGTCGCCCCACCAAAAACGTGTGCGCACATGTAGGCACACCGGGTAGACCCAACGGCCCAGACGGACGAGCGCGCGTGAGGCGGGGGAGCACAGCCAAAAGAGGAAAGCACACACGTCAACTGGCTCAGCCTCCCTCAGCCCGTCTTTCCTCTCATCTTCATCCCCCCATCCCCTCCTTCCCAACGCCCACCGCCCTGCTGCAGGACAGATCTGCGACGGGTACGACACCTCCCTTTCACGACCTAAGCTCCCGCCATGGATATCTCCAAGCCCATCGCGTTCTGCGAACACCTCCAGCTCTCTGCTATTGGTATCCAACCCGCGTCCATTTCCTTCCAGGTCCGTGTCGCACTTTCCATTCCTGTCCCCCTTCTCTCGCACCCGTGGACACGCGTCGCTTACACCCTCACGCATTCTACAGACCCTCACACTCGAGTCCGACCACTTCATCTGTGTACGCGAAAAGGTCAACGAGGCCAACCAGGTTGTTATAGTCGACCTTGCGGACGCCAACAATGTCCTCCGGAGACCTATCACGGCCGATACGGCCATTATGCATCCTCATCAGAAGATCCTCGCCTTGAGGGGTGAGTACACGGTCTCTCTAGATGCTCCCCTTGCTAAGCTCGAGCGTCTAGCCGGTCGCACATTACAGGTCTTCAACATTGAGACGAAGCAGAAGGTCAAGTCTCATGTCAGCAACGAGGACATTGTCTTCTGGAAGTGGATATCGGACTCGACTCTTGGTCTCGTCACCGAGACTTCGGTACACCACTGGTCCATCACCGACCCGACCTCTGCTCCCCAGAAGATCTTCGACCGTCATCCTACCCTCGTCGGCTCTCAAATAATCAACTACCGCACCACCTCGGACGAGAAATGGCTTGTTCTCGTTGGTATATCTGGCAACACTACCAACCCGGCTGCGTTCAAGGTCAAGGGTAACATCCAGCTCTACAGTCGGGAACGTGGAGTTAGCCAGCCCATCGAGGGCCATGCCGCGGCGTTTGCTGAGCTCAAGCTTGACGGATGTCAGAACATGACCAAGGTTTTCACCTTTGCCGTCCGCACAGCAACAGGCGCAAAGGTGTGTTCCGCCTCCTGTACCGTTGTCTGAATGAGGGACCGACCTCTGTCTGCGCCTACTAGCTGCACATCGTCGAGATCGACCACCAAGCACCTGATCCTCCCTTCACTAAGAAGGCTGTTGATGTCTACTTTCCGCCCGAGGCCACGAACGATTTCCCTGTCGCCATGCAGGTCTCCAAAAAGCACGGCATCGTCTACCTCGTCACGAAGTACGGTTTCATCCACCTCTACGACCTTGAATCTGGTGCTTGCATCTACATGAACCGGATATCCGGCGAGACCATTTTCGTCACTGCGGAACACGAGGGCTCCAACGGTATCATTGGTGTCAACAAGAAGGGCCAAGTTTTGAGCGTGTCCGTGGACGAACAGACCGTCATCCCTTACATTCTCGCAACTCTTAACAACACGGAGCTTGCGTTCAAGCTGGCCAGTCGCGCGAATCTCCCGGGCGCTGATGATATGTACATCAAGCAATACCAGCAGCTCTTCCAGAGCGGCCAGTACAGCGAAGCAGCCAAAATTGCGGCCAATTCCCCTCGCGTACGTAGTCATTCTTCTGACGGGTTTGATGTCAGCTCAACCCCTCATCACAGGGCATACTCCGGACGGCGCAAGTCATCGAGTCTTTCAAGCAGGCACCCTCTCCTCCCGGTGGCCTGTCACCCATTCTGCAGTACTTCGGCATTCTCCTGGAGAAGGGGGAACTGAACCAGCTCGAGTCTCTTGAACTTGCTCGCCCTGTGCTCCAGCAAGGTCGCAAGCAGCTTTTGGAGAAGTGGTTGAAGGAGAACAAGCTTACTTGCAGCGAAGAACTGGGAGACGTCGTTAGGCCGTACGACATGACCCTTGCTCTCTCGGTCTACCTGCGCGCGAGTGTTCCCCATAAGGTCATTGCTTGCTTTGCGGAGACTGGCCAGACGGAGAAAATCGTACTCTACGCCAAGAAGACTGGCTACACTCCGGACTACGTCGGCCTCCTCCAGTCCATCATGAGAGTCAACCCCGAGAAGGGCGCCGAGTTCGCCGCTCAGTTGGTGAAGGATGATGCTGGCCCCATGGTTGATGTTGAGCGGGTACGAACGCTATGTGACTATCGAATATTCTGTTCTGATTCCCCTTTCAGGTCGTCGACATCTTCATGTCGCAGAATATGATCCAGCCCGCGACATCATTCCTGCTCGAGGCTTTGAAGGACAACAAGCCGGAGCAAGCCCACTTGCAGACTCGTCTACTCGAGATGAACTTGATGCACGCACCACAAGTAGCAGACGCAATTCTGGTGAACCAGATTCTGACCTACTTCGATCGTTCTCGCGTCGCCAACCTTTGCGAGAAGGCTGGACTTCTTCAACGTGTACGTTACATCGGTGGCGCTGAACGTGCTTTCTATTGACCTATCACATTTTAGGCTCTGGAGCTCTACGAAGACCTAGCGGATATCAAGCGTGTGATCGTCCATATCAATGTTTTCCCTGCCGAGGTACGTCTCATTATTTTCGGCATATGTTGGCTAGTCTGATATAACATGGGGCCAGTGGCTTGTCGACTACTTCAGCCGCCTCACGACCGAGCAGTCTTTCACCTGTATGCAGGAGATGCTCAAGGTTAACATCCGCCAGACCTTGCAGATCGTTGTCCAGATCGCCACGAAGTACTCCGATATCCTCGGTCCCGTCAAGATCATCGAGATGTTCGAGTCGTTCAAGACCTACGAGGGCTTGTACTACTACCTCGGTTCCATCGTCAACCTGTCCACCGACTCCGAAGTCCACTTCAAGTACATTCAAGCGGCGACCCGAACCGGCCAGATCCGTGAAGTTGAGCGCATTTGCAGGGAGAGCAACCACTACAACCCTGAGAAGGTCAAGAACTTCCTCAAGGAGGCCAAGCTGTCCGACCAGTTGCCTCTGATCATTGTCTGCGATCGCTTCGACTTCGTCCATGACCTCGTGCTCTACCTCTACCAGCGCGGCCTCACCAACTTCATCGAGGTGTATGTGACTCGTGTCAACTCTGTCCGCACTCCCCAAGTCATCGGTGGTCTTCTTGACGTGGACTGCGACGAGGCTACCATCAAGTCGCTGCTGGCTTCTGTTCCTGGTAACTTCCCCATCGACGAGCTCGTCCACGAGGTGGAGACTAGGAACCGGCTCAAGCTCATCCTTCCTTGGCTCGAGACCCGTGTGCAACAAGGCAGTCAAGACGCGGCGGTTTTCAACGCGGTGGCGAAGATCTACATTGACTCTAACAGCAACCCCGAGCAGTTCCTCAAGGAGAACAACGTAAGTTTGTCCACATGGATGATGCTCAGGAGCTGACTTGCATCGCCTCCAGCTGTACGAGCCATTGGTGGTCGGCAAGTTCTGCGAGGCGCGAGACCCATACCTCGCGTACATCGCATATGCGAAGGGCTTCTGCGACGAGGAGCTCATCCATATCACCAATGATAACGCCATGTTCAAGCAGCAGGCGCGGTACCTCGTTCGCAGGCGTCAACTTGACCTCTGGCTGCAAGTTCTCCGTTCTGACAACATGCACCGGCGTCAGCTCATCGACCAGATTGTTGCGACCGCTCTTCCCGAGAGCACGGATCCGGCCGATGTTGCTGTCGCAGTTGACGCGTTCTTGAAGGCGGATCTTCCTCTAGAGCTCCTGGAGTTGCTCGAGAAGATAATTTTGGAGCCTTCGCCCTTCAGTGACCACAAGAGTTTGCAGAACCTGCTCATGCTCACCGCCATCCGCGCAGACAAGGGCAAAGTTGTTGGGTATATCGACAAGATCCAGAACTATGACACAGAAGAAATTGCAAGGTTAGCTATCGAGCACGGTTTGTATGAGGAAGCCTTCCTTATCCACAAGAAATATGAGCAACACGCGGCCGCCATCAACGTCCTCGTCGAGCACTCGTATCTCTTGACCGTGGGCAAGATTACGCGAACAAAGTCAACCAGCCTGCAGTGTGGAGTCGCCTCGCCAAGGCCCAGCTGGATGGTCTTCGCATCAAAGATGCGATCGGTATGTACCTCATCTACAACTCACTACGACCTGACTAAACTCCTTCTAGACTCTTACATCAAGGCGGGTGACCCGTCGAACTTCGGCGAAGTCATCGAGATCGCCAGCCGTGCGGGCAAGTTCGACGACCTCGTTCGCTTCCTCCAGATGGCCCGCAAGACACTCCGCGAGCCCAAGATCGACACTGAGCTTGCCTACGCGTACGCGAAGACCGATCGTCTCCATGACATGGAGGACTTCTTGAGTATGACCAACGTGGCAGATGTGCTCGAGGTTGGCGAGAAGTGCTTCGAGGACGAGCTGTACCAGGCGGCGAAGATTCTCTTCACGAGCATCTCTAACTGGGCGCGTCTCGCCACCACGCTCATTTACCTCGGCGAAAGCCAGGGTGCGGTTGAGAGTGCGCGCAAGGCGGGCAATACCCAGTGAGGTCACCCTCATTTCATTCACACCAGTAACTAATACTATTGCAGGGTCTGGAAGCAGGTTCACGCCGCATGTGTGGAAAAGTCCGAATTCCGCCTGGTGCGTGTATATTGTGGATCCCAGAGCCGTCGACTATGCTTACAGTATTGCCCAGGCTCAAATTTGTGGTCTGAACATCATTGTTCATGCGGTGAGTGTCGTTGTTCAAACAAGCTCCGTATGTTTCTCATTGTGATACACAGGAGGAACTGCCAGCTCTGGTCCAGTCATACGAGCGCCGTGGTTTCTTCGACGAGGTTCTGGCTCTTCTCGAGGCTGGTCTGAGCTTGGAGCGTGCACACGTAAGGGTGGCCGTTCAATCGCTGTACACGATGGCTCACGTTACGATAGATGGGTATCTTCACCGAGCTGGCCATCTTGTACAGCAAATACAGGCCTGACAAGCGTAAGTGCTCACCGCTCACCGTCTCCAACGGCATTTTAGCTGAGTAATCGACAGTCATGGAGCACCTCAAGCTCTTCGTCTCCCGAATCAACATTCCCAAGGTCATCAAGGCCGCTGAGCGTGCCCACCTTTGGCCTGAGCTTGTATTCCTGTACATCAAGTACGACGAATTCGTAAGTATACGGCGTTGCAGCTATTACCGACCTTCCATCCTCACACAACTCCCAGGACAACGCCGCCCTCGCCATGATCGAGCGTTCCGCAGATGCTTGGGAGCATAATCAGTTCAAGGATGTCATTGTTCGCGTTGCGAACGTCGAGATGTGGGCGTGTCCGCATCGCTGCACTCGAACTGACACTGACATGCATCATTCAGCTACTACAAGAGCTTGACGTTCTACCTCCAAGAGCAACCTACGCTGCTTACGGACCTGCTCACTGTTCTGATCCCCAGGATTGACCATGCTCGTGTCGTGCGAATGTTCCAGCAGATAGACCACATCCCGTTGATCCGGTCATACCTGATTGCCGTCCAGCATGTAAGGCATTTCGTCGCAACCGTGGTATAAGGTCCTGACGCCATACTCGCACAGCTCAACCTCGAGGCGGTCAACGACGCCTACAACAACCTGCTCATTGAGGAGGAAGACTATAAGACGTTGCGGGATTCCATCGACAGCTTCGACAACTTCAACAACGTCAAGCTCGCGCGCGAGCTGGAGAAGCACGAACTGCTCGAGTTCCGCCGTCTCGCGGCTCACCTCTACAAGAAAAACAGCAAGTGGGAGGAGTCCATTGCTCTGTCGAAGCAAGACAAGCTCTACAAGGACACAATCGTCACTGCTGCCGCCTCCGTGTCGTCTGAAATCGCAGAGGAGCTTCTTTCATACTTCGTCGACATCGGAAACAAGGAGTGCTTCGCGGCGACCCTGTACTGCTGCTTCGACCTGCTACGCGCCGACATCGTCGAGGAGATGTCATGGCAGCACGGCCTCAACGACTTCTACATGCCGTACAAGATCCAGCGGACAAGGTCTCTGGTCGACAAGGTTGGTAGGCTTTGCGTACTTGGTCAATGATGATCACTGAGCCATCTGGTCTAGCTTGCCGCGCTGGAGAAGGAGGTGAAGGAGCGGTCGAAGAAAGACACCGAGAAGGAGAAGCAGGAGGCTGAGCAACCTCTCATCGAGCCCGGCTTCGGCGGCAGGTTGATGCTCACTCAAGGGAACGGCTTCCCCGCTCAGGCGCCGCCGTCCATGATGATGCCCAACGGCACTGGATTCGGCATGCCTCCTGTGAGTACAAATCAGTGTTGCATGACTTAATAGCAATCCTCATTAAGAGTTCACAGGCGATGACGGGTTTCGGCGGTTTCTGATCTGGTCGAGGTCGGTATAGTCGTATATTTGGAGGACTCCATGTAATTCGCACTCATCATGTTCTAGCTATCGTTAATTCTTTATATCTTCTCATCTGTTCGACGTGACCAATGAGGGGATCGTGCTCGAAATTTTGAATCACAACATAAATCGTATCCCCGTAGAGGAAAACAGCGAGAATCAAAATACAAGATGACTCAGTACATGGATAGCAAGGTGCTCAGCAAGACGACTGATTATCCGAAGGTAGGGTATATCTCAAACGGTGTGTGGGATGTGCAATAGTGAAGATGGTATGAGGATGCGACGAACAGGTATAGGTGTAGTGACACGTAACAATAGTCTGTCCAGACAGACGCGAGGTAGCTCAAACGAACGAGAAGCTAGACGATAATGCACCCGCCCTTGCTGCCACCGCCGTAGCCCCCCGCGCCCTTAGATCGTGTGCTCAAAGACACTCGAGCGGCCTCATAGAAGACCTCATTGACCCCACGGTTGTGCTTGGAGCTACATTCTACATGCATGCGCAGATGATGAGACGCAACGCGAAGACGGGAGAGGGTCGTGGCAGAGAACGCACCAAGGTAACGGGACGCCCGTATCCGTCTTGCGACCGTCAACCCCTCCTCATATTGCACTGTGTGCGTGCCGTGGCGAGCTAACTTGATCGCGGTCTCCTGGTCTTCTCGAAGATCGCATTTGAGAGCTGTGGAGACCCGAACGCCCATTGTTGTGACGCGAAGGCATGGTGCGATCGAACACGCACCGACAAGAACCAGCTGTGAGCGAAAGACATGTCAGATTGTACAGTTCGGACACCAAGGAGAACACCGGGCCCAGCGTACCTTCACTCCCGGGCAGTACTCCAGTATCTCCGGGATCCACTAGGAAAAGGTAAGAGGATGGCCCGGCGCACGCGTACTAGCGTACCTTGATCTCCACATTCTCCATTGACGTGGGGTTGTCCACCTGCGGCGGGCGGGCACTGAGAACAGGGTGCAGTAGGCGCAGTGAATGAGGTATTGCTCACTGAGAAGCAGAGCATGATGACATGAGTCTCTGCGTAGCTGAGCGACCTTAAGCGGTCAAACTCCTCCTGTCCTGTGGGCCGAGCAGGGCGTGAGAGGTGCAGGGTAGTGCGTAGAGTGCAGCGGACGGACCAGCGGTATCCCAGAGACTGAGCTCGATGAGCTGCTCGTCGACGTAGATGTCGTGTACAAAGTTTTCAAACACGGTTGGTTCGCTGTTCATTCCGAGGCGCGTCAGACATCTGGGCGGGGGGAGTCGAGCCAGGAACTGACTAGACGTCGGAGAACCATCCGCGGGTGAAAACGTTCAGCAGTGATGTCTTGCCTGTGTCTTTGTTCAGAGCGAGCGCTGAATATAGAAACAGGCACGTACCACAAGCACCGTCTCCGCATACAACCACTTTGCGCTGCATCTAGAGCAGCATACGAGCGTGAGGAATGTGGTGGATATGCTGAGTGACATGCGTGCGTACTGGGCGAGAACGCCCGAAAGGCGGGGCCATGGATGACTTCCTGTATTTTGCCATATTATCTCTTCAGGGGGGAGATGACAGGGGCGGGAAGGATGGGGTAGAACCGGTGCGACGGGTGGAGAGGAAGGGAGGGAGGACGGGAGGGAGAGTGGTGCGGGGCGGGCCGCCGGCTTCAAGCTTCAACGTCAACCCCGCGTCAATTCGCTGGCGCACGCCGTAAACCAGTACTCCAGTACACCAGTACTCGCGTTCATCACTTCTGCCTTCGCCTGCCGCGCCTGCCTACCACCAAGGGCGAACACAAACACCACATGCCTACATGGATTCGTACAAGAGGTTTCATTCTTTGGAGACGTTATGTACATCGGAGACAGAGACTGCCAATACCGGCGATCAACAGTGCTCTTGCACCACTCGACAGACCGGGACAAGATGCAGGGTGGTTCATAAACAGATTGCGCGGGGGTGACGACGGAAATGAAGAACAGAGACAAAGGAACGGGGGGCAGGGGATGTACAACCTGAAGCGGCAAAAAGAGCGAAGATGCACAGTTGCGATCAAACATGGAAATGAGGGAGACGGGATGCTCGCCCTCAGGACGACGTGATATGGGACTTATGAAGGATTAAATTAGGTGCAACAACGAAAACGAGTGGAGATGGACAGCGGACAAACTCACGCCTTCGGCAACATCGTGAAGAACAGCAAAAGAAAGACGGCGCGTCCGACGGAACGCAAAGAGATAGCAAGCAACTAAATCGAAAGCGAAGGGATCGACGAGCCTGCACCGGACGAAAAACCAGTACGCTGAACAGCGTTCGTCGCTCTGCTTTTGTGGTTTGGGTGGTGGTTGTGCCCACGCTGGGGCTGGCACCTATGCTGCGATGACTTGGGGGCCATCTTCTTCTTCATCATGGCCTTCTCCCGCTTCATATCCTTCTTCGACCGACTGCTCTGACCGTTGTGCGACGAACTCGACCCAGAAGCGGGTACGAATGGCGAGCCAAGAACACCATCTCGTGTGGGAAGGAGCGTCGGGGACGATCCGTGCGAGTGACGACCTTTCTTCTTCCGCGCTGACGCGCGAGACATCTTGTCCAGCCCGAGCGGTCGAGGTGGAGTGAAGAGAGACATCCCGCCCATCATTGACCCTATCCCGCGATATGGGAATGCGCCCATGCCGGCATCAGAAGTCCCACCGTCGACCCCGGAAGCGGTAGCACTCTCGCGGGTCCGACGGAAAGTCGCCAGAGGAATACGGTCCCATCTGGACAAGTTGTGCATATGCGGACTGTCTGTGGACTTGACGGGGCTTGACGGTGACGTAACATCGCCGATGTCTGTGTCCTCCTGGAAGGATGGTTCCGAGTCGAGGAGCGACGAATCGAGCACGTCGTCGAGTTCGATAGCCTCGGTCGAAGCATCAGAGGCATACGATTGCTGAGATGGCTCGTGAACCTCTTCGGATGATTCTGTGGGCTGGGGAGGGCCCATGGTAGACATCTGAAGGAGTCCGATGATAAGTGGCCACGCGCAAGAGGAAACTGTGAGACAAATGCTCACTTCTGACGGAGGGATTTGTGCTGAACTGGGCTCGGTAGGTCGCGCAATCCGGATCGGACGAGGGTAAAAACTTGGGACCTCGTTGCCTGGGCTGACGATCGCGGTGCGGACAGTGGCATGAACGTCGTCGACTACAAAGTTGCCCATGACCGGAACGTAGCTCCCTCGTCTCCTCCTCACGCGGACCACAGTCTTCTTCTCCGCCTTCTCCATCTCTATGTCTTCCAGGTCGTCCATGGAAACCCTACCCGCGAGAATGTCTGCAGGACGCGGGGTTGCCGGTGGATGAGATTGGGCTTGGGATGATATGGAAGCAAGGGCAATGCGTGTGCTTGGTGATGCGTGTGTGGGAGGGTCATCAGACGGACTGACAGTGGACATGGGATTGATGGCGGAAATTGTGCTCGGCCACTGGAACAGCATCATCGCGCGGGGATTCGGCAGGCCGTCTGAGTCCACGAGCTCGTCCTCAGTAGTATCTCCGTCACTGTCCAGCATGACAACGGTGCCCGTGTTGGATGAAGTTGCTTCCGAACCAGAGACAGAGGCCATGTCTTCATCTTGATCCGCGGCCTGCATACCAACAGCAAGTCCAAAGGAGTCACCTGAGCGATGGCTAGAGAAGAAGAGCGGGCCATCCCATCCGAACAGGTTGTCCAAATCAACACCGATTTCGAACTCGCCTTCCCCGCGGCGGAGTTGCACGGACGGATCGAGATCCATGAGCAGTAGTGCATCCTCTTCATCGGCAGAGAAATTGGTGATATGCTCGGCACTGTCACCAGGAAAAGCCCGCAGATCGGCATAGTGCGCCTCAGGTGAGGACGCACCAGAGTCAGAGTCCAAGTTGGCAAAGAAGAGATCCGCGTCGAAGGAGGATTCCTCGTCGTCGTCGCTCCAGCCCGTCCCAGGGAACGAGATCCCAATACGACCATCGGCTTCGTCGTCGTCCAGATCGGCATCCACCATCCCACCACCCTCAACGTCGGCCTCCGCATCCGCATCCACGTCATCGTCGTCGTCGTCCTCTTCATCGTCACCATCCTCGGAAGAAGCATCGGACTCACCGCTGTCGGTCGAGTCCTCATCATCCTCTTCATCTGCTCCGACCGACTTTTTACGCGGTTTGATCTCCCACTTTCCTCCTCCTTTTAGCGGCTTTTTGTGGCCAACATGGCTAGGTAAAAGTTTTGTAGAGTGCCGTACGTCGTCCTTGTGTGCGAAGAACTGGTCGTCCGGCTCAGAGTCAGAGTCGATCGAAGAATCGGGGGACTCGGACGAGCTAGATCGAGCAGAGTTACTAGCGGCAGGGACAAATGTCGGGTAGTCCGAAAGCGTGCTGTCGCTTAAATCAGCGAGAGACGAGCTTGGGGCCGGAGCAGGAGGCTGGTGGGGTTTGCGAACGAGGTGCGAGATTCCTGTCGTGCCTCTGGCCTTGTACTCCGAATCGTCCGCAGCCGCTTTCTTCTTCGTGCCGTTTTTTGCGGACAGGGCTTTCGGCGGGCGACCACGCCGCTTGGATTGGGGCCCGACGGTGCCGACGAGTTTTGCGGTGGAGGGACCGGCATCGTGAGGGACGGGACCGAGACGGGCGCCTGAGTGGGTAGGAGTCGTGGGCGGCTTGGGACGCGACTTGAGATTGGGAGGCACTGTGAATTTGATCTTGAGCGGACGCTTGCCTGCGGCGGGTGTATGGGCTGCCGAGGGCGTAAAAGAAGTCGTAGAGGGCGCAGAAGGAAGGGGAGCGGCGGGGACGGTCGCCTTTTTGGGGCACGTGCACTCGCTCTCGCACACCGGGCAGATGTCGTCGAGGTCGTCGTCGTCGTCCTGGAGAAGACTGTGGACCGGGGGCGCGAGGGCACCGGCATTCACGATATGGGCATGAGGAAGCGACATTGGAGGAACTTGCTTTTTCTGGGGATCTGCAGGAGGGGCGGGGCACGTTGTCGTCAGGAAGCAGATCAGGGAGGGAGAGGGTTGAGACGGAGGGAGGAATAGCAATCACAGAACTGGATGGACAAGAAAGCGGGAAGAGATGAAAGGAGCGCGCCAGGGCGTGGCGGGATGCGGGCCGTGGCTGAGACCAGTCAACGGCACAGAGCATGAGGAGGACGGGGACGGTGTTTCGGAAGAGGGCTGGCGACGAGCCGGGCGGTGGATGGTGAACATTGAGCCAGACAACGGGACTCACGTTGAGAAAGAAACTTTTTGGGCATTGTGCGCAAGAGGGCATCTGTCCGTGGGATATATATCCAGGATGGCGGCGTGCGGGCGAGCGTGCGGGGTCGAAGCTGGTGAGCTTCGGAGAGTGAGGCAAAGAGAGCAGCCTCCCAAATCTCCCCGGCGCCTGCGCCCTCCCCGGCCCATCAGCGGCTCCCGCATCCTGCCTTTCTCCGCCCATCACCTCCTCGGCCTCGCATTCTCCCTCTCGTCCTCCCAACTGTCTGCACGCCCGCCGCGTTCGTTCATGACCACCCGTCCGTCGTATTTTCGCGTAGCAAGCTCACCTCTCACGGGCGCCTCCAGGTCTTTCTCTCAAGCAGCAGCTTGCCGAGCTCTCTCAGCCCGCGCCTGTTGGTTCGTCCATCGCCCCCCATCCTCATGTGAGTCGCGCCTAACTTCGTCGATCACCAGACCTCGACCCTGAAGACGCCCTTGCTGCAATCGACGACGCTGAGCATCGATTGTCCATCGATCGTCGCGCCGCCACCGACCACTACATTCCTGTCGCGTGAGTGCTCTTGCGTAGCCTGTCTACTATTCGACATCCCGGTGTTGACCTCCCCCAAGGTCGTCTTCCCTACGTAAATTCCACGACAGCGTCAGCGACCCCAAATACGATGGCATCCGCACGTCGCGCAAGCAACTTTACGACAACGACGACGAAGCAGAGTCTGGTGAAGGGTTTGCGGATGATCTAGAAAGCGATCAAGACGCGCAGGATATCGGTATTATTGAGACTGGAGACGGATATGCGTCCCCGCGTCCGAACACGGAGGGCCCTGCTGTCTCACGCCCGGACACGCGGAAGCATGCTGAGACTGAAGCAGAGGGAGACCTGACATCGAACCTTCGCAAGACCCATGAGGCAGACAAGAAAAAGGGTCTTGCCGTATCGCGTCAAATAGTAAGTCCGTCTTCCAGTGCACCCCGTCCCACGAGAGCGGGGGTTCCTGAACGGCATGCTCTAGGCCATGTGGGATATGCTTCTCGATACGCGCATACAGCTTCAAAAGGCCGTTACGGCGGCCAATTGCTTACCTCAGGTCGGTATTCCTATGTTCAGTGCAACATCCACCATTAGGCATGATACTGACGCGTGATTTTGATAGCCTGACGAGCTGAAAGAGCATCTTTCACATCCTCTTGTTCGTGAAGCACTGGAACACATGCTTGATGTGGCAGAAAACTTCACGGACGAATTGGCTCTATTACAACAAGTGCGTCAGACGGACTGCATGTTCGGCCCCGCTCTCCGCTCATCACATGCTACAGAACCTCCTTCGGGCGAACGAGTCGATAGATCCACCTCCGAGCAAACGACGCAAGGTGGAAGGCGCGCCTGACACGATATCCGAACATGGGGAGGCGATGACGAAGCTCTCAGAGGGCGTGTCAGCACTGGAAGCTTGTTATCACCCATGGGCGGTCGACACACTCTCGAAGTGGTCGGCAAAAGTGCAGGCCGTGGCGCCGAACGTGCTTCTGCCGGACAACAGAGGGTCCTTCCTCCGAGATGGAAAGAGCTCTCGTGTCGGCGTCGTCGGGCTCGTGGACCAGATGTTGGGTGCAGAGCGTACGAAGTTGCTGGATCGCACGCGCAGACGACGAGACGGGAAAACGCGCATCGGACAAACAGCGAGCGAGGGAGGCGACGAAGAACAGGGTATGGATAGAGAGGTGTTCGACGACACGGATTACTACCAGCAGCTGCTCCGGGACGTGATCGTCGCGCGGGAAGGAGACGAGGGGGAGCCACAATGGCAGCAGCAGCAGCGAGAGCGGAAGGCACGGCGGAAGAGGACGGTGGACACGAAGGCGAGCAAGGGGCGCAAGCTGAGGTACGAGGTGCACGCGAAACTGCAGAATTTCATGGTCCCTGTCCCCGTCGCGGGCGGGGAGTGGCACGAAGAGCAGATCGACGGCCTCTTTTCTTCGCTGTTGCAGACATGAACCCTGCTTCTGTATCGTCTCGTATGTAGCATGTCTACCCACATGTACATTCTATCATTACCGTAAAAGCTGACGTGAAGATTTCAAATTCATGTGCTCGATGGTTTCGTATTTTGGTGATGCCCTCAACCTAGGGTTAGGGCTCTGCTCTTCCATCTGCTCGTTGTCTTCTGCCACCATGGTGCACTCCCTCCCCCCCTCCTGCTGGTCCGACTCGCTCACATATTCTTAAAAACGCGCAGATCATTCCTGTGAGGTGTTTCTCGTGTGGGAAGGTGATCGGAGACAAGTGGGTGGCGTACATGAAGCTGCTTATGGATGAGGTCCCGGAGGGGTGAGTCTCGGTTCTTTCCTGTCCTCTCCGACTCTGCGGTCTAATAATGAGTGCTGCGTCTGTAGTGAAGCGATGGATGCGCTGCAGCTGAAGCGGTATTGCTGCCGTCGCATGGTGCTCACGCACGTCGACCTCATCGAAAAGCTCCTGCAGTACAACCGTAAGTCTCTCCGCCTTTATTTTGTCATAACATTTTCTGCCCTCTTTCCCGTCCCTTCTTTTTGCCACCCAGGGGGGAATGCTCTCAATGTCTTTACTGACTGCATCTGTGTTCGCAGCCAACGAGAGGGAAGCCATCACGAAGGAGAGGTTGCAAGGATGAGCAAGCTAGTGTAGAACGCGCAGTCCGTTAGCCGTGCGTGTGTAGACTATCTTGTGTGTAATTATCTCTCTTTCTTTTCTCGCTCGACACTTTGCCCAAAGAGAAGCCCTTCCTGCATGCTATGTACCCACACCTCAACATCGCACAGTCACGTAAGCAGGGCGCAAATGCGGGGTTCGACATTGTGTGGGCAAGTTTCGTGGTGCCGGGGTCTTCGGACTGCCTCCAGGAGCGGGCCGCGGGTGAGAGTGCATTTGTCACAAATGAGCGAGCTCCAGGTTTCTGCTTGGGACATGAACAAATATGCAGGGGGACGTTGACAATGGAGATAATGATGAACGGGAAGTCTGCTGAGACACCATGGGAGTACGATTAGATTAGATGAGATCGAGATCCCGCCCGCGCAGTCCCGCTCTCGCTTCACCTTGCACGTTAACCACTTCCATCTCCCTAGCCCACAATTTGCTCTTATGGCGGGTGCGCAAGAGGCCCTTATTCCAAACCCCCTCACGCCGCTTTCGGTGCTCCACTGCAAAGGTCCACCGTCCTTTCTCCCAGCAGTTTGCTCCCGTACTGCGAGTTTGGCGCGAGATGTTACATAAAGGAATGACTGAAGGAGGAGCACTCACCTCTGTTCGATAAGCACTACTCCGAAGGTGCGTGGGTGGAGTAGCAGGAGGCGCTAGAACGACGATGTGGCCTACACAGCAGGAGATTTCGCAATCGGAGGGCAGTCAGCTCACGGAGTGACTTAGAGGCGCTTCGGAACGCTGAGCCCAGAAGCGCTTCGAAACGTTGGAGAAGGATACTCAGACTGCGAAGAAGGAGGCCAAAGCTGAGGTCAAGGCGAACGCTGCTCCCAAAAAGAAGAAGGTTGCTCGTTCCACAGCACCCATCCCCCTTCCAAGTGGATTGAGCAGAACAAGGGGAAGCACGTCGCTGCTATCCACGGACTCCCACACATCAACTCAGTGGTGTGTAACTCAGTTGGTGTTCGCATCCATTAGATGTCCATTTGAAGAAGGCTGCCAAAATTCTGTGCAGAAGTTTGCGACCGGAGTGTCCGCAACGAAAAACCCTCGAGGCCAGCCACGAGATTGTGGAGATGACTGAGCTGGGGCTGGGGCGTCCCGAAAGGAATGTAGTGGAAATAGAGGCTGCTCTCATTCAGCAGTGCGTATTGGAACGACACCGACGTCACCAAATGCTGGAATCCGAGTGACCAGACGCAGAATTTGGCATACAAGGCGCCTGGGCTCAGAGAGCTCTAGCCTCTGTGCCGAGAGCTTATGTAATTCTGAGGAGGCAAACTGGGCGCGGCCAGTCGACCGCGGCGGGCAGGGAATCGACTTCCCTGGGTTCTGGGGGCAGTGGGCGGCGTGTGCAGGACAGGCAGCGTCCCCGCCCGAACGGGGCTCGGTCGGCGGTGCCAATGCCAGCGAGGCCGTCGTCGGCGGAGAGATTGGCGGGCCTGGCGCGGGGACAGGCGTGAGTAGCCGGCCTCATGCAGAGCCCATCGCGGCTCATTTGGCGCGCCGCTTCCATCCTCCCTCGCCTCTCGCCTCCCTCCCCGTCCTCCATCCCCATATACCCTTTGTGCTCCACCCCCGCGGCAGGAGCCACCAATGTCCTCTTCAAGTCAGCTCGTCGCGAAGCCCAAGCGTCGCAATGCCACTCTCTCCTGCGCAGAGTGCAGAAGGTCGGTCTCAGGCCACCCCCGATTCGAGCTCCGCACCATCCTCATCTCCCGCTCTCTCTGCTTTCCTTCGCCTTCTCGCAGGCTCAAGCTGAGGTCCGCTTCACTTTCTTCGACCAATTCCTTGTTCTTACCTCCCCCAGATGTTCCCGTGTCTTCCCCTGCGCGAGTTGCGTCAAGAAAGGCTGTGCCGCGATCTGCCCTGACGGTGTGTCCCTCTGTCCCATCTTCGTTTACTTTTAGTAAACTGAGCCACGGACGCCACTGGCAGGCTCTTTGACCACGGGTAAAGGCAATCGGTATGTCTTTCTGTCATCTCCGTTCTCTCCGGCCAATCCCACTTTTGGACCCCGCCGCCATCATCCAACGCTGATCTCGTCATCCTAGTTTCGTCCTAGCCAACACCGAAGTCCTCCATGATAAAATCACTAGTCTTGCAAACCGAGTCCGCACTCTTGAAGACGCCCTGTACGATGCCAATTCCCACCTCTCGACCGAACCCCACCCTCTGCTCAGTGATGAGCTCCGCGCGCTCAAACGCCCGCTGGAGAGAGAGTCGCAAGAAGAGCAGGAGCAGGAGCCGGAACCAGAAGTTGTCGAATCCATAAATGTCGGCTCCCTGTGAGTTCTCGCCTTCTCCTCATCTTCTGCACTGCTCTCGCTAACCTAATTTCCGCCGTCCAGATCGATTACCGAGTCCGGTCACACGAAGTTCTATGGGGGCATGGCTAACGCCTGGGTGCGTCGATTTCACCTCCCACGCGGCCCGGTCCTGTCGCCAATGCTCACCCTTCTTCTTTAGTATTTACTGCAGGTATGCGACCCCGCCCATGCTGTAGTTACTTTACCGTCGCTTAGCCACCTATATAGAATGAAGCAGGCAGCGAGGAGGAGGACGATAGCCCCCAGATGCAACTACCGACAGAGATCCCGTGGCTCAGCCATTCATTCCCCTTCTACGCGGCCGTGAGCGAAACAGCTCCCGGCATCCGTACCTCTGTCCTGGGGGCCCTTCCCGACCACGCGAGAGCCCGCGAGCTTGTCAACCTCTATTACAAACATGCTGCGTGGATGTACGTCGCACCGATCCATCTCGACTGCCGGCTCCTTCCACCATACCACCCGTGATTGTCTCACTCACCGATCCCATTTGCCGCACAGGTACCACCCGATCCGTGAGGCCGAGTTCGAGGAGGTCGTCTTCGCGCCCCTATACGATCAGCGCATGGACGGCGACTGCTCTCCAATGGCCTCCCATCGCATCGCCGTCTTGTGTTTCGTCCTCGCGCTCGGCGCACTCCTGGACCTCGACAAGCCCCCACTCTCGGCCGAGGCTGCCCGCTACTTTCAGCTAGGTCGCGCCGCTCTCAGCATCGACTCCATCCTGGAGTCGCAGTCCATCCCGGCCATCCAAGCTCTGGTGCGTGATCCCCCGAGCCTCTTATAAAGGGGGCCGGCTGGGCGGCAGCGCGGTAACCCTCGCACCGTTGCCACGCCTTCGCACCGATGTCCACGGATCGTTGCTCATCCCACGTGGACAGATACTCATGTGCCAATACATGTTCTATTCTTTTGTCGATGGCCCTCGCTGGGCTCTCATGGGCGTCGCGGTCAAATTAGCCCAGAGCGTGAGTGTTGAGAAATTGTCTCGGGCAACTTTCACGGCTAATCTTTCCCTGTCCGCCAGCTCGGGTTGCGTGCGTTTTCGTTAACAACCCTCTTTCGTCTCGCCATCATCTAACCGATAACTCTCCCCAGATCGCGATAGCGGGCGGTGGAATCTAGATCCGAAAGAAACTAATAGACGGCGCTCGCTTTTCTACGAGCTTTATACGTATGATTCATGGCAGGTTCGTGCCAAGTCTCCTGATGCCCGAGCGGTACTAATGACCCCTCAAAAACGATGTGATCAGAGTTTAACTTATGGTCGACCCCCCTCCTTTGCCAACTCGTTTATTGATTGCCAAATGCCCGACGAGATTACCAAAAATGACGGAGGAGAGGTAGAAATGACCTGTAAGTCTCATTTCCGTTTACACCCACCTCAGATCGGCTAAGAAAGCTTGTGCAGTTGACGCGTGGAAACACCGATATTCATTCAAGTGCTTGAGCGTGGTGCACGAGCAGTGCTTTGGTGCAAAAGTCCCCCGCTATCACGGCGTCACCGAACTCGACAAGAAGGTCCGCGACTTTTACGTCCCGCCTTCTCTCCGCGTACCGGGTTTCGGAGGCGCGTCCCATGAGGGCCCACATATGCAACCGTCTGTGCAGCTCACCATGCAACGTTGCTGTGCATTCTGTATTCGAGAGATCTGTGCGTACAGCGCTCATCCAGGGTCGATGGCCAGTGTGAACTCTCACTGACCTGGGAATTCGCCTCGCAAACTCTTAGCGGTGTTCTACATGCATCGGGGCTTCTTCGCGAAGGCGTTGGAAGATAGCCCGGGCGACCCGCTCGGCAGCAAGTACGCGCCCTCAGTCCTTGCCGCTTACAACAGCGCGTGTTCGTTTGTCGGCCTAGTCCATACCCTCTATGCTCAGCATCCGGCTTTGACGGAGCGCATGTGGTTTTTCTTCACTCACGTCTTCTCATGCGCTGTACGTCACATCATCATATATCTTCCCTAGGCGTTTCTGATGATTGCCGGTAGATTGTCCTCGGATCTATCGCCACCAAATGTCCCTCTATGGCCCTTGCGCCGTCTGCTCTCTCTAACCTTGACGCTGCCCTCAACTTGTTCAACAATGTCTCGTCCAACCCAGGGGCTGCCAAAGTTTTGGTGAGTGCGTTATTGATGTCGTTCCTGCATTGAGTGACATTCCACATCTCGTAGCCTGTACTACGGAAGCTCAAGGCTCGCGCGGTTGCCGCAAAACAGTCGATAGGGACAGCGCCGTCTCAAATGAGCCCGCATAGCGTCTCATCGAGCGACAGCGTCATCAAAGAGGAAGATGACGAGCTAGCCGCGCTCGGTGGGAAGACCCGGCTTGTCTCGAGGAAGTCTCCGGGGCCCGTCCCGTCGACGCCCTCCCCTCAAGGGTCCTCGCAGCAGTCGATGAGCCCCGTGGAGCACAACCCACAGCTCTACAACATGTCCCCCGAGATGGAAGTGCAGCCGATGTTGCCGGCGGCCGACGCCTCATCGCCCGTGAGCGTCGAGAGCGGTGGCAGGCACGCGCAGTGGAACGGTGGCTACGCGCAGGCCTCGGAGGTGTACGGCTACCCGTACCCGCCGCACGACCTCAACCAGTGGTCCCAGCAGCCGCAGCACCACCCTCAGGCGCACATGGAACCCCAACACGTACACCAGCCGCCGCCGCATCCACACGCGCACTCTCACTCGCATCAGCACATGCACGGACAGATGAACTCCCACCCTTTGACCGTCGACATGGGCTACGGTGTATACCAGCAGATGGGGCACGGAGGGCAGATGAACGGGCACCCGCAACACCCGCAGTACGTACCACATTCGCCGGTGCAGCATATGGGCGGACAGCAGATGCACCACCCGTCCGACCCCACGACATCGTGGCACTATTTACTCGCTCAGTTCAATCAGGATTAGGTGGCATGGTTTGTACTTGGATTGGGTTTTTGGGGCGCCTGTACATTGGTTTAGCTGCCGTCGTTGTATTTGGTATTTGTGAGCATGAGACGTGTAGGATACAGGGCGCTGTAATAGTATTCTCCCTCTCATTTTATCTCGCAGCTCTTTCCCCATGTCCGATAATGCCACGTCGCGTGTACTCTGCTGCAGACACGTCGTTGCTCTGGGCAATGGAGTGTGGTTACGTTCTCCGATAGCCATGGTACTGGTACTTACCTAGTGCGAGCCGCTTGACACCAGATGATCCATATGCATCCCACGAGATGAGGAGAATTTCGAGGGCGAAGACACCGCGATGTGATTTGTCTTGTACAAAGTGGAGAGTTTGTGAGATGCTGCAGACCAAGTGAAGCTTAGGAAGTGCCCAAGGTTGAACAGGCACTCGTAGCGCTCGTGGCTGCGCGCCACGCGGGGGGCGACAGCGCGCCATCCGCTCGTCCTCGACGGCTTCCAGTGCGTCCCCGACGTCTCCCAGCTCTGGGCGACAGCGCCCAAACTCTTCTTCACAGTTCTTATATTCGACATCACCTGACGCCGCGGAGTAGTTCTACAACCCTTCGCCTGCGCCGGTATGGACACTGTCGACTCGCGCACGCGAGGCAAGATCTCTCTTCACTCCACTGGGACTCCCAATTCTTCGTACGTTCCCGCCACTCTCATCCTTGTCGTGCTTGCTGTACTTAAACTCTGCTCTAGCGCTGCCCTTTCCAACCGGCTTCTAGCCGACGTACTCCTCGTCCTTGCGCTCAACGCAGGCAAAGACTACCTCCTCGCTGATGTAGGCGTATTCTGGGTCCTTGTCCGTGTTCTGGCGTGTGGTGGGTTTGTCGCGATCATATGGTTCTTGACGTCGGGGGGTTTACACACGAAGCGGGCCACCGAGGTATGTGATCCCTGCGCTCGACGGATTGCTTGTCTCTCATGACATACCAAGTGGTCCGTTGTCGGCATGTCCTCCTTGCTGCTATTCCTTCGATACGCGGGGCTGTTCACCGCGCTCTATCGTCTGCCTTCCACTCGGTGCGTCCCAATTGCCATGTGTTTATCTCCTCTCTGAAAACGCGCACGACCTTCAGTGCCATCCTGTTCACCCATTTCTCCCCCATGTGGTTGAAGCAGTTGATGTCCTTCACCTCGGTGCGCCTCCCCAAAGCTTTCGTCTGATATTATCTGACGTACGTACAGGTCAAACGCACGACTGCTGTGATTCTCTCCCTTCTAGCCTCATTCCTCTGGGATTCCCGCTTTTCCCCGGGTGAATTCGGAGCCGTGCTCCCTGCTTATGGTGCAATTGCCGTCGAAGCAATCGCGCGGACGGCATATGCGCACACCGAAAGCGTTTTGTCTCCCTCACTGGGCCAGTCGGCGTCGGCGATCATCAGCATGCTCGGCGCATGCGTGTTCAGTCTCCCACTGTACATGCTCAGACATCTACTGGTGAGCAAGCATCCCCCATATTGGCATCCCAAGCTCATTTGGTCGCAAGCTCTCCGACTACAGTCACCCAATGCCCACTTTGTCTGCACTGGCAGTCCTCCCCTTTCTTGCTTACGTCGTCCTTTATCATGACCCTCGAGCGTCCATCAGCACTTCCACCGCGATCACCTCACCCCGCTATGTCGTGCTTTCGTATGTAACCACCTACGCATCTGCCGTTGTCCTCGGCTTCTTGGCATTCGGTCATTCGCCTAGATTCGTCGACATCATGATACCCGCCATGCTGTTGTATGGTATGTGTGGATTCTCTTGCGCTGTGTTGGGAGCTCACTCTACTGTGACATAGGTCTGTATCCAATACCCGCTGAACCCTCAGCCAAGGCCGGAAACTATTACGCATCTACGACAAAACTGATGCGAGCCTACCTGAAGGACATCCTCTCTAACCCTGAGTCACGCAAGATATTCTACTTCCTGATGCTTAATATGTGCTATATGTTGGTGCAGATGCTTTACGGCATCTGGACAAACAGCCTTGGTCTCATCTCAGACGGTATGTCGGTGCTACCTGTCTGCCATATCACTATTCTAACATCGTCAACGAATAGCGATCCACATGGCGTTCGACTGCATGGCAATTGGCGTGGGCTTGATTGCCTCCGTTATGGCGCGCTGGCCACCTAATGAGAGGTTCACATATGGGTACGCTCTGCGTTTGGCTGACAATTTCCTGAGGTACTGACTCCGTGTTACAGTTATGGGCGCATTGAAACCCTTTCTGGGTTCGCCAATGGTATCTTTCTCGTCCTTATTTCAGTATTCATTGTGTTCGAAGCCATTCAGCGCTTGTGCGTTTCTTCATCTATGCATCCGTGTAGCTTCACTGACATCTGGCAGACTGGACCCTCCGGAGATGAACACCAGCCAATTGTTGCTGGTCAGTTCTCTGGGATTGGGTGTCAATCTATTCGGCATGTTCGCGATGGGCGGGCATCACCACGTCAGCTACTACCATGGTGCTCGTCCCACAGTGTCACTGATTTACACTTTAGGGAGGACATTCACACTCGCACTCGCATGGCCATGGGCACAGTCATGCTCCCTCCCTTCAACCTCCCATAAATTCACCGAGTCATAGTCATGTACATGATCATGCACATGACCACGGACACGGGCAAGAGCATGGGCACGACGACCACGGGAATGACCACAGGCACGATCATGGTCCTGTTCATAGTCACAATCATGATCACGACCATGAACATGGTCCTGGGCACGAGCACAGCCATACACACGACAACAGTCACTCGCATTCGCACTCTCACTCCCCCGATGCTCATTGCGACGACCATTCTCATCCGGGCGAGCCATCCCACATCCAATCTCATACTATCCCTCATTCACACTCCGAACCACATTCCCACTCCCATTCATCGGGGCACAGTCACTCGCACTCGCACTCATTCTCACCCAGCTTCACCGAAGATCCCCCTTCACCCATTACCCCATCTAGCTCGCGCCCAGGCCTGCACTCTCGTCACCAGTCCCTGGAGATCAAAGTCGAGCCCGTTCCGCACCTCCTCCACCCCGCTCACGGGCGACTGCAGAGCGAAGCGGCCCTGCCCTCGCCCATCACTCCGAACTACAAGTTCGGCCACGACGACCACTTCGAGACGCACCACTCGTCCGGATCTGCGCCGAATCTTCACGATCACAGCCATGCCCATGGCCACGCCCACGAAGGGCATAGCGACAATATGCGCGGCGTGTTCCTCCACGTCATGGCGGTACGCGCATTCGCTTTCTGCGCATCGCGCCTTCGTTGACCACAGCGGCTTCCAGGACACGCTCGGGTCTGTCGGTGTCATCATCTCGACGCTTCTCATCCAGTATTACGGCTGGACGGGTTTCGACCCGATCGCCTCGCTCTTCATCGCGATCCTCATTGCTGCCAGCGTCATTCCTTTGGTGATCGACACCGGTAAAGTGCTTGCTTTGGACCTAGACTCCAAGGATTCTTCCGTCCGCGCCGCACTGACCGAGGTAAGCTCGGCTGTCCACCTCCTTACACGTCGTGCCCTAACCACGCCCGTCAGCTTGGGACTACCGAAGGCCTCGTGTCGTACTCCGCGCCCCGCTTCTGGCCCAAGGACTCTGCAAGCGTGATCGGCACGATCCACGTCCAGCTCGGGCCCTCCGCCTCCTCGCTGGACCCCGGCGGTCCCCACTCTTCCGTCCGCCCCTCGTTCGCAAACGTCGAGCGCGTCGTCGAGCGCGTCGACAAGCTGCTCCGGAGCCGCATCCCAGGGCTCGAGGAGCTCACGATCCAGGTCGAGGACCCGGCGTCGGCCTACCGAGACTGACAGCAAGCTGTTCATATATAGACGTGTACTATACTACATTGTGGTAACGTCGGTGCGACCAACTGCGAGATAAACCCACGCGCGAATTCTATCTACGGGCGACAAGACTGCGAGCGATTAGGTACAATTCGTAGTGTGAGACAGTCCCTGGGCTCCCTGACCCTCTGCCACCAACGACGACCGTAGGTGTCTGGGTTCCACGGCCGCGTGTAACGGACGCCGAGAGCGTGCATCCTAGAACGTAGTAAAACAAAACAAAATACAAGCAACCTGGGCCAATGTCCGTGAATCCACTTGCGTGATCGTTACTGCTCGTTGAGGTTGTTAAGCAACGTAGTGAGGCACCTCTTCGTGACCATGTCGCCCTGCGAGCACATATGAGTATTGTGAGCGTGTAGAATGTGACTACTTCGTACCTTGAGGAGAGCGTTGAAGGTGTTGTCACGAAGAGGCTCCGGCAAACAAGCCCTGAGCGCCTCGCGAGCCCTAGGTGGCGTTAATATCCGGGACGATGGGATCTAGGCCAAAATTACTATGACGTACCTCAGGTTGTCGCTCAGGCGGAGGTAGCAGCGGACGACGTGCTTGAGGAGGCGCACCGCCTGCGTCTCGACGAGCTGGTTGACCATGTTGCTGAGCACGGTGCCGACGGCGTAGAACCGCTCGTAAGTGTGGCAGATGTACGTGAGCCCGGTTTCGTCGAGGAGGATCTTCTGGACGATGAAGATGGCGACCGTCTTCGACAGCTCCGAGCCGGTCTCCATGATCCGCAGGCAGAGCGGGATGATCTCCGTGGAAAGCAGGAAGTGAATCACGGGCGTGTTGTCGTTTTGCTGCGGTGGCGACCGGGCTCAGCGGGTGAGAGGAGGGGGTCAGGGCAAAGGCGTACCTTGACCAAGGCTCCGATGACTCCAAGAGAAGTGAGGCGCAGGTATTCGAAGGGGCGCGTTTTTGAGGTGGTGTTCAGGAATGGGTATAAGAAAAGGGGGATATGAGCTAGGCAGGTGAGGTTAGACTCCACATGCTCGCCAAATGAACACTGGGGCGAGAGAACGCACCGTTGAGGAATAATTGACGGGTCTCCGGGTGAGAAGCTACACATTGCAAGAGAGCGAGAGCGTTGCAGACACGATTTGATACATGGGCCGTTAGATTAGGAGGCGACAGGAGCGGATAGACGGATACGATTTCTTGCAAAAGAGCGGGCATGATACCTAGCCGAACATGAGTCTCCGCGTTACCGCCGCGTGCGAGATAAGATGGGGAAGGGCGTACCGAAGGAGTGCCACAAAACGAGAGCGAGGTCGTCATACTGCTCCCTCTTCTTGCTCAACTCCAGGAGTGCGCTCTCGCGGGTTTGAGAGTCGAGGAGATCGATCACGAGGCTGTAGATCTTGCCCTCCTCGTTCACGCCGAGCGGGTGGGTGGCGATCCCACCGAGGAAGACCCCTTGGTGTGGGGTGGGCTGAGAGAGTGGCGGGAGGGAGGTGGCGGAGGAATCGGCGTAAGACGGGACCCCGCGCCCGTACGGGTTGTACTGCAGGTTGTGTTGCATGTAGGAAACGGGCTTGGGAGAGATAAGCCCCGCCATGGGGAGAGCCTGTGTGGTCTGCACGTTGGACGTGGGGAGGAGGATGGCGTTGTGGAGGTCGAGGGGGAGGACGGGGCGCACTGCCGTCGCCGCCGAGTCCGCCAGGACCAACTAGACGCCTGCCTCTGCCTCGCTTAGTCAGCGCCTGTGGCACCGGCAGGCACAACTCGAAGGAAGCATATCCAAGAGAGCGCATCTATTCGAAAGTGCAAACTATCTAAGGTATGCCCAGCACAGACTCGACTACGTGTGATTCGTGTGACGCATCACGTGCAAGTGACCAATAAGTCCTGGACAAGTCTGGCGTCAATGCTGACATTAGCGCGCATTGTGCGCGACAGTCTACATCAAGTCTACATACGCAGTCTCCAAACTGTACAGTAGAGGAATAGTGCTATAAACGGCTGTGTTGCAGACTGGCTGACTCGGGAGGTGCTGGAGCAGTGGAAATGAACTGCGAAACGGGAGCTAAACATACCGTGCACTGAGGAAAGCGCTGCACGAGCGACAGGACGACGGTGACACAGGACTGGTTTGACCATGTGGGAGTCGTGATAGAAGCAAAGGTAAGCTACGGGCGAAGAGAACGGCGGCACGGAACTTCTGTTCGCATGCAGGTCCTAGTCACTGCCAGGTTAGGTGAGCAGGCTATGACAACATACGTGCCACATGCCATATCCTCATCCACCACAGATCTAGCGCGGTGCTCGCCGTACATGGCGCAGTGCCATCGGACTCGTCCAACGTGTCTTCGAGGGGAGCCGAGCTGAGAGCATCATCAAGCCCTTCTTGCAGGCCCGGGCTCTTGCTGCGCTCTCAACGCACTTATAAGCCCCGGCTTTCCGTTTCGACTCCAGCCCCTCGCACCCCACGACCGTTGACGGTCCACAGAACAGGCAAGACTACCATCGACATGGGCACGTCATAATATTTCGTGTACTTATTTACCTCTTGCCGGGCAGGATATTCAATAAAACGCTATCTACACTGTGGATACGTCGTCTGTGTACAATCTAGCTTGATAGAAGTGTGCAGGGACACGATGACAACAGAAATATCAAGAGACATTGAGTGTACGGGGGGAGCTCTAGTATCCTATCGATTTACTCTCGCGGGCCCTGCAGAACTGGCGGAAGCGTGACACTTCCAGGTCATGTGACGTAGTCGAGTCTGTGCTGGGCATACCTTATGCCCTACGGTCTATAGCGGTCATCAAAATCTGTGTCTATCCTGTTTGAAAAGTATCCAGCGGGGTTCGCGAATGCCCTGTAAACCGACTGCGCCTGTGTCGATGCCGCTTGCGCGACAATCCACCACTGGTGGCTCTTTCCCCTGTTTATGTTGCGTTTTCAGCAGGCTGGAACCGTGAGCGGGATCTTGACCGTGCGCTGTAAAAGGTCAGCAAAATTTCCCACTTCATCATATTCAAGAGGGACGTACTGCAAGACCCTACAAATATGGAAGACGGACGATCAGAACAGCCGTCCGGAAGCACGGCGCGAAACATACCGAGAGACTCGTTTCCTTGTACTTGAAACTCATGTCGGATGCGGTTAGCCTCATGGCCTCGATGGCCTCGTCGAGCGTGACGCTGTAGACGTTCTGGCTCGCCATGGCCAGCTGCGCGGCTGTGATGGCTTTCACGGCTGGGATGCAAGAAACGTCATCAGCGTCCACGCTCAAGCCAACCATGGAAGCAGAATCGCCGCCCGCACCTCCTAGACTGTTTCGTTCCTGTGTGGCACACACGTTAGTCTCGAGAACACAGGTCCGTGCGGCGGCAGAACGCACGATGCAAGGGACTTGCACTAGTCCGTCGATGGGATCGCACGTCAGACCCAGGTTGTGCTCTGGAACATTAGATGGATACGACTGTATGAGGAAGAGAGGGAGAGCCCTTACCAATGCCGATCTCCGCTGCTTGCAAGATTGTTTCAGGCGACGCTGTGATTTGACGTGAGCACAGAAGGTTCGCAGCGAATGCGAGCCGATAGCACGGACCTCCCATACAGGCCGCGAACCCAGCACTAGCCATCGAACATGCGACTGGGAGCACCGGAGTCAGGAAGACCGGAGGTTGAATAGATCAGGGCCGACCACACACCACCAACTTCGGCCTGACAACCCCCCTCTGCGGCCGAGATGGTGCTTCCCCGCTTGAAGAGCATGCCGACAGCCTAGCACAGCCAATTTAGTCGAGAGCGTTAATCATAGCCGGGAAGAAACAAACCGCTGCTGTCAACAGGAATGTGACCACCGATCGCTCAGGGTCGTCGCTCACAAACTGAATCAGAGTTAGCAAGACGCCTCCACCCAAACGCGCGAAGAACACTCCGCTTACCTCGACAATATACTTGAGTACCGCGGGAATGACACCCGCGGCGCCGTTCGTCGGAGACGTAACGATACGCCCACCGCTGGCGTTGACCTCGTTGACCGCGATGGCGTAGCAGGATAAGAAATCCATCGCGGGGATCATTGTCTTGCGCTACCCAAGTCAGCACCGACCACGTTCCGATCAGCTTCTAAGTTCGCCAACTCCATTGAACGCCACGTAAACACGTACTACGGGCATAGGGGTCACTGGGTGATCAAGAACTCCGACGACTCGCATCGGCCGGGGGCCAGCTGTGCTACTCCCATTGCTGCTGGCCGCATGCAGACCCTTCGTTGGAGCCACCGGAGGTTCATCCACGCCAAAACCTTCAGGTGCGCCGATATTCCCAACGGGGGCACCACCTCCAATTGCGGGAAGGGTGGGTGCTGCAAGACCGGGGTAGAACCTGGGCATAATTAGATGACCCATTACAGAGGGAACGACAACGAGATACTGTCGCATACCCTCTCATGAGGCGGCGATAGAGGAGAGGGGCACGCCGGCGAAGGCCCAGTCTCCCGGGGAGCTTCTCATCCGCGGCGGACACTCCCATGCGAATACAGTCATCCATGACACTCCATATACGCAGCAGCTTAGAAATGGGACTCATTAGTCGACTGCTATCGGGGACACATTTCCGAAACCGCCAGAACGACCCCGAGAAGGCGACCGCTCCACGGACTGGGGGGTGAAGAGACAAGAAAAGGGTACCTTCTCGTGGATTTCCTCATGGGAGTATCCGAAATGAAGCTCGTTGTCGTATACAACTTGCGCAATAGTCATCTAGGCCCGACGGACAGAATATAGAAGCGTGAGTCGCTATGGGGATAGATGGAGAATAGCGGCGCTATGAAGGAAGTAACGTACATTATGCCTCTTGGTCAGAGCAAGAAGACTGTCGCCGGACTGTAACAACTTTCGTCAAACTGTGCATTTCAACTGACACACGAAGGCACGGACGGTGAACGGATATGGGGGCTGGATGGGATCGGAAGGCTGCGCGACTTCGCCCGCCACGGGCTCCGTGTTCGTCTGATGCAGTCGTGCGCCGTGGACTGCGCTCTTGTCGACGCCTTTGTAAAACAGGTTTTCGTCGACTGTGGGCCATGGTGGTTGAACACGCATGCCCCCAGAGACCCCCACATGCACTCGCCTTTGGTTTTCTCGTTCACCACGAATCCACCTCCGACGCTGATCGGCAGACGGCAGATCTGTATTAATTACGGCCAGCAGAAGCGGGTTTACCACGCACCTAAAGTACTCGTTTGTGGCAAGCAAGTCCCCGTCCTCGCCGAAGACGGAGAAGCGCATACCGTTTGGATGGGTCTTGAGAACCTGATCCCAGCGCCAGACCATGTCTCGGTCCATGTCGTACACGATCCGATGGCGACCGCCGAGCATGAGCGTCTTGTTCTCAAGGATGCCCGCATACCGCGACGGGATCGTGCCGGTGGCGATGGTCTCCGGGTCAGAGCCTGGGCCGCGCGGGTCAGCTGGGCGGAACCATGCAAGAAAGCAACCGAGTCACCCTCAAGTCCGAGCAGGATCGCCTGCGGGGTGTGATGTCTGGGCGAGAGGAAAGGATCAGGACAAGGAATGGAGCGACGGAATAGGACAGAGTGCGGACCCTTTGCCTGCAAACGACCATGTCTGCAGTCAGCCAGGGAGACGAGTTTCGTTATTGGCTGCGAGACGGACCTGTGGCTGCAAGGGAACCATAGCTGCGCAGAGGTCAGCATCTGCGAATCAATCGCGGCACTGATCGAGCAGCACTGACAGAGTGATTTTGACCGTCTTGACCTGCGGTAAGAGGTGAGCGGAGGAAGAGAGAAGAGGACAACGATCCTACCTTGTCGAGCAAGCCGACCTCCTCGAGGTCGCCAATGAAGATCTTCCCAGCACGCATGGGGCCGACGGTGTGCGACGAGCTCGGTCCGACTGCAGCAGCAGGACGCGCCGCAACGCGGATCAGAGTCTGCTCCGCCCCGCCGTGCTGCTCGCCAAGAGCATGAGATTGGGGCAGACGTACCGCCAATGCTAAACAGGTCAAACGCAGAAATGACCGCATGCTCGTGCTCCTTCTCGTGTGCGCCCACGGACATCATGTCCTCCGCAGGGATCGCGTCGCTCTCGTCCGTCGCGTCCGACTCCTTTGGCGGCCGAGCTGCCGAGTTCGGTCCATCAGTCCTTCGCTGGGCGCTGGTCGCGAAGGCACGCAGCGCCGTGGGCCGTGTTGGAAATCTGGCAGCTTTGACGGGCTGGTGGCGGGACGGGAAGGCGCGAAGGGGAGGGCAGGTGGCCGAGGCTTGTACCGCCACCGCAAGACGCGTCGGGGCAGCCTGTTTCCGGGCGACGGCGGCGAGCATGGCACGAGCGAGCGCGGCCACGGAAAAGGCAGAGAGCAAGGATGCGGCCGCGGGCTGGCGGGTGGACGAGGGAGACAGCGAGCTCGTCGGCTGTGTCCACCGCCTCCGAGTCTTCCACGGCGGTCCTAACATGAATCCTTCCGCCCGATCACGGACCCTAACCCCGTCCGCAGGCGGCAGTCATGTGATCGCGATTTGCGCGTCGCAGCGTTTTTGACGCGTCCGTCGACGCTCGCCCGATCTGTCCAATCCCCCTGCAGCGGACCATCCACCTCCGATTGGTCCATCAGGTTCACCGCGCCCATGTCTACATCCTGAATATCAAACGCGCACAGCAAACCCGGCCGCATCACGCCCCCCGCACCAGTCCATCTCGTCCCATCGATAGTTCTCCGCCCACATCACGCTCCCAATGTCGACCCAACAGCCATCTGTCGTCCGCCTATCCCTTCCATCCGTCTCACCCCAATTCGTCCAGCCGCCCTCCACATTCGCACCGATCCTCACTGCGGGCGCAGATACCACGCGTCGAAGGCGCTCTCCGAGAACACCGACCTCCTCGGGAAGTGCGCCCCTTACTCCGCCACGATCTGGAAGCGTTTCCGGAACGAAGTCTGCGCCGAGTGCTGGCGCTACGACCGCGGTCGAAAGACCTTCCTCACCCGCAAGGACGACGAAGGCTTCCAGCGGCCCGACGCCCCGGTCCAAACCTTTTCTCTCAGCCTCCGCACGACCGCGTCCAAGGGATCTGGAGCCAGCGGTGTGACCGGAGCCGGGCTCTCGTTCTGCGACGCGCAGTGCCAGCGCAGCTGGATCGACCGCGAGGGGCTCGACGCCGTCGCTGCGCTCAGGCGCCTCGAAGCTGCCCGCCAGAAGAAACCCGCCAAACCGGCCCCCGACTCGCCCCAAGGCGCACCGTCCGGGCAGCCCACGGACGTCACCCAAGCGGCCGCAGACGCCGCCTGGGCCGCCCTGTCCGCGCAGGAGAGCTCGCCGAAAGCGGTCCGGCGCTGGGCCACCCTCCAGCTGGACGACTACGAGGCGGACATGGCCCGATACGTCCTGCTAGCTCTCCTCCGCTACCTCCGCGAGCTCCCGCCGCCGCCGCATCCTCGACCGCATCCGGCCGGGGCTGCGATGGGCGCATCCTCCCAGGCAGAAGGACCGCAGGAGCATTGGTCGAACGACAGATGGGCGACGTTCGCGTCGCTGCAGACCAATGAGCTCGCGCTTCTACGGGCGTGCCCCGGGATCTTGGAACACCAAACCCTAGTCTACAGCGTCCTTCGCGCGCGCTTTCGCCCGAACGTTTCCGGCGCGGAAGCAAAGACTTCGCGAAGTTTGTTGCGCGCCGGAGGTGGGAAGGAGGGAGCACTCAACGCCGATAAGCCTCAGACAAGGTTCCCAGGCGGGACAGATGTGGGAGGGCAGTCTTCGCTGGCAGATCTTGTGACCGTAGAAAACATCCGGACGATATTTGGCGTAGACCCAGGAAACGCGTTTGGGATCTGGGAGACGCCGCTGATGGAAGAAAGCGAGTGTCTCGGGTTCGCGGTGTACCCAATGGCGTCTTTCTTTAATCATAGTGAGTCGTACAATCGACCGAATTGACCTCCGAAGTGGGCGAGCAAGCGCTGACATGAAGGCTGCAGGTTGCTCACCGAATGTGCGAAAAGAAAGACAAGGTCGAGTACTACGCTTCGTCACTACCTCTGGAGCAGACGACGGAGAGGAGCTGTGCATCAGCTACGGTCCAAATGTGGAAGGCATGGGATGGGAGACTCGTCAAAAGGAGCTTTTAGAGGGATGGTACTTTGCGTGCCGGTGTGCGCGTTGCGTCTCCGAAATGGTGAGGAGCGGGAACGAAGGGATTGGGCGATAAAGCGCACCGAAATGCGTATGTGGTGGAGTGATGGGCGCAAGGAGTGGCCCGGTGGATGGCCTGAAATGAAATGGGAAATGTGCTGTTGTGGACCGTTGTTGTAACACCGTATCTAGCTGAAGGCGCCAAGGAGAGGCTAGGTGGCCCTCGAACGCCAAGCGCGGTTGTCATTGGCAGGACCTGGGACCTGGAGGGTGCGCGGGTGGCGACGGAGGATCCTGTGGAAAGTGGGTGGGGCGAAGTTGGGTGCAACGGATGCTTAGCGGGTAAGGACTTTGCCGAGCGGTGCCGACTCCCGAGCGGTGCGATGCAGCTGGGTCGTACAGGTAGCAGGTAGACGGGACAACGTGGTTCAAAGGGACGATGGGTCGAAATGGATTGAGAGGCACGAGGAGCTCGTGGGGCGCTCTACGAGAGCTGAAGATCGCGTGGGTCCCGGAGAGAGATGAGCGGAGAGCAGAACGAGCGCCTGCTGGGGACCCGTGTTCCGATGGAGGAGACGGAGTTCGCGGATGTTTCCAAGCGAACTTGGATCCCTGCGTGCTAACGAAAGCCAGACTGAATGCACCGGCTCTCACGACTACAGAGCGAGCGGCCTGCGCTGGTGCCGCCTTGGGCGCGTGGCCACCCGAGCGAGATGGATCAGCCCTTGACGGACGTTATCGCGGACGGAGTGCCAGTGGGGAGGAGAGCTGGCATGAGGCGGCCGACTCCAAGGCACGGGTCCGAGTCGACCGATGCCGGCGGGCGAGTCTGGTGATGGGCGCGGACGACGGCCGTCGCCAGTCCCGACGCCGACCGACGCATGGAGGGCGAGGGAGGGGATTGCTGAGAAGAGAGATCCAGGATCGCGCGCGGTGCACGGGTGACCAGCAGTCGGGCGACCGCGCACAGGCGACCGCCTCAGATCCCAACACTTGCCACAGGCGCCCGTTCCTCGTCTCGCCCTCACCTCCGTCTTCCCGCCAGACACGTCCTTGGCTCACGCCTCCTCCCTCCTCCCGCCGAGCCTCCCGCCTCCGTGCCCCCTCCCGCCCGCGCCCTCTCGCCTGCCTTCCCTCGGCGGCGCGCGCGCTGCATCCCTCTCCCTCCGGCCACTCCCCGCCGACTATACCACTCGTTCCCCTGCCCTCTTGATCTCCTTTCCTTTCCACAACCCCCCCACAGGGCTTCTTGCCCGATGATGGCCAGCCCTCAGCCCCCGAAAATTATCACCAGTATGGTCCCGAACGGCACCCCTTCTCGCGACCGCTCCTACCGCAACGACTACCCGCCCTCGGTCACCTCCTCTCCCGCCGTCATACGCTCCGCCGCATCCTTCGCCAACACTCCTAATCCCAGTTTATCTGCCCTCGGGGCCAATGGATCCGCTGTGCCTACAAACCAGCCTCTCGCGGTCGAGGGTTTACTCGCCACCTACGAGGGTTCCCCGAACCCCGCCCTTGCCGCTCTCGACGCCGCCGTCAATGAGCGTAACCAGCTCTCGGCGCAAAACACCCAGCTCTGGAAGCTCATCGAGAAGCAGCGGTCGGGGTACAACCATGTCATGAAGGAGCTCGAGCGTCTTCGCGGTGAGCGTGATCTCTATAAGCATCGTCTCCAGGACAAGGGCGAAGACACCGACAAGCTCCTCCGCGCCCACCGCGTACGAGAGAAGAACGAGGGCAAAGACGTCTCCCTTCGTTCTGCCTCCTCCGCCTCCCAGCTCAAGCCGAGCGACAGCCACAGTTCATCAAGCTCGTCCAAGGCGACCAACGCTCTCGATCCCCGGCAACCTGTGCACAGAGCCCATTCGGACGAGTCGCGTCAGTGCTTCCTACCGTTCGCCTTCTGCCGTCGTGTGCTGACGATCCCACCGCCAGCTCGCGCCCAGCCACAGCTGTCGTCCTCTCGATCCTTTGATCCCAGTCAGTCGACCTCTTCCGCTTCGCGGATGACGCCCGAGCGCAAGGGCTCGTCGGGCACAGTGAACACGGTCAGCTCCACCCGCTCAGAGTCTCCGGTCCTCAACGTCCAGACGAATGGCTTCCTTTCCGCCACCCCCGCGGGGCCTTCTGGACACATACCATCGCCGCTGTCGATTGCCAGCCCCGCGCCAGAAGGGTCGTTGACGATGAGCCCTACGGAGGACTCGTTCTCACAACCCGCTCCCACGCCGGTGCCGTTGCGCTCGGATTCTCTGTCGGCCACATCAACGCCCGCCCCCTCGCCCTCGACAGCGACACAATCAGCCAAAGTCACATCACCGAGAGAGCCCACTGATCCTGTGCTCGGCGCCTGGGCTTCCCCACAAGCAGCCTCCCAGCCCAAGCCCCAATCCCAGACGTCGTTACCGCCCCAGCAGTCGCCTGCTCACGGCCCTCCACTCCAGCTGCAAGTTCAGCCTCCGCAGGCGCTGGCACAGTTGCAGCCTGGTCCCGTACAGAATGGCGTCGTGCTCACGCCGGCGTCGCCGGAGGGCGCGGCGAGCATCTCACGTGGACAGCCCCCACCGCTGAAACCTGCAGAATTGGGCTACGGTCCGGTGACAAACGGGAAGGCAGGCGCGGGCGAGCAGAACCTGACGGTGCGTGCGCACGCGTTGTCGCGCGAGTCGCAGATCTCGCTGCCGGAGGAGACGAAGCGGTGGTACGCGTCGATCGCGTCGCCTGCGGACAGCCCGAACCCGGGCAGGGAGTCGTTCTCGGAGACGAGCTCGCCGGCGCCGAACGGGCGTGGGCTCGGGATCCCGACGGAGAACGGGGACGGGCGCGGGCGGGCGGACGGGGGGCGGTCACCCGACTCGCGACGGGCAGGATCTGTCACGACCGAGGAAGGCGGCGAGTTTCTCGATATGGACGACGACGACAGCGTCAACGACCACTCCGGCGCTAACGGCCTTGCATACACCGACCTCCCGCGCTCGTCCTCCGACGCTCCCCAACGCTCGTCCCCCGACGCCCCTCAGCGCCGCGACAAGTCCCGCCCCGCCGTCGAGGACTTCCCCCTCCCGCCCGGCACCCCCACCAGCCCGGCCCAGTTCACCCCGCCGCCCCCGCTTCAGATGCACCCTCCGTCGCGCCAGGGCAGCATGGACTACCCTCAACCTCCACAGCTCCGCCGATCCATGTCGTCTCCCGACTCCCAGCCGTCCTCATTTTCCGCCTCCCAGTCCGCCCCTGCAGAGCCCCCACTCTCTCCTTTCCCCCTCCCGCGCCCCGCCAACCCGCCGCAGATGAAGTTCCGCCAGCTTCCGCTGCTCGCAGAGGACCTGCCGCACACGGAGATCACCGTCCTCAACTCCAACATCCGTCCCAACGACAAGGGCAAGGACACCCTCTCTTTCATCATCCTTGTCGACCCGGGCCGTGGCAAGGACCCGTGGAAGATCGAGAAGGCGTACAGCGATGTCCTCCTGCTCGACACGCGCATCCGCTCCTCCGTCGGCCGCACCGCATCCAAGAGGCTCATGAGCCTTCCCGAGGGTCGTTTATGGCGTGATCATGCACCCGCCAAGGTTGATCAGCGCAAAGTAAGTCTTCTATAACGCTCGCACGGCTGCTGCGCTTCGCCCATACTCCTTCGGGCGTTCTCTGCTCTCCAACTTTCTCCTCCCGGGTATATACTGTTGACCCCGCGCGCTATTGTGCAGTCCCGGCCACACGCAATATGGCCCAGGGTCCTCGTTACCATGCAAAGCGCTTGTGAAACCCCGCTTCTGGACGCGCGAACGTATTCCGATCTCATGCTGCCGGGATTTCTTGTCTTCTCGAAACCTTCCCCCGCTCACTTCCGTCTGCTCCGTCATTCTCGACACTGACGATCCCCATTTGTCTAGGTCACTCTGGAAGCTTACCTCCGTTCCTTGATCGCCCTTCCCGTCAAGGAAAAGGTTGAAATCGTCGCATTCTTCACATGCGACGTCGTCCGTGAGGCCCAGAAGCCCGTAGCACAAGTCGGATACAAGGAGGGCTACCTCACCAAGCGCGGGAAGAACTTCGGTGGTTGGAAGACGAGGTACTTCGTACTTCAGGGTCCGTCTCTGGAGTATTATGAGAGCGTGAGTACTCGGTTCATTATTCATGCGGCATGTCGGCTTGTACTTCGGCCGGCGGGAGCTCACCTCGATTTTTATCCCTCGCTGACCATCGTTACCGTTTCTGGGGTTTGGCACACAGCGGGGCGGCACGCACCTTGGGTCAATTGTCATCACCGGCGCCCAGATTGGCCGACAGCAGCGCACACCAGAGAAGCGCGAGGGAGACGAAGACAACGAATACCGACATGCGTTCCTCGTCATCGAGGCGAAGAAGGGACCGACTGGTACTACCGCGCGGCATGTCCTTTGTGCCGAAAGCGACGAGGAGCGAGATTCTTGGGTCGAGGAGCTCGTGCGGTACGTCACTGGCACGTACAACGATGAGCAGTTGCCCCTCGCCGTGACGGCCAGTCCAGTCACGCAACTCAATGCCGCTCTGCCCCGTTCGAGTACTTCTTCCAACCCTCCAACGGACCTCCAGAGCACACCCGTGCGTCGCTTACCCAAAGATGTCCTCATCGCCAAGGGCCCAGCAATGCCCCTCTCCGAACTCCCACAAGATCCAAACAACGCGAAGCTCTTCCAGGCACCTCAGTTCCCCGAGGAGACCACTTCAAGCAGTCCCGCAAAGACGTCTCTCGAAGTCGAAGGGCTAACCTCGAGCTCGCTGCCCGCCACGTCTCCGCTCGCTGAAGAGCCGGAGCTTGTGTCCGCCCTGAACCCAAGAGCAAATTCCGAGCTCGGTCACTATCCCGACATGGCCAACGCCGCGGCAGCACGCACGCCAGAGCAGCAGAAACGGATGAAGAAGAACCGGATGTCCATGAAGCCCTCTCCGATGCTGGAGCGTCCGCCGTCGCCACCGTCGGACCCGAATACCCCGCGCGTCGATGCCCACGGGAAGGTCAAGATCTCCGGGCCCATGAACGGGGTTCCCATCCCCGCCGGGTACAAGTTCGGCGGACCCAATCAGCCGGCCCAGCCTGAGCAGCCTCCTATGTCCACATCCGATCGGAGGGAGAAGACAAAGTCAAGAACATTCAAGGGCTGGAACTTCGGACGCGGCGGAGGTGGTAAGTGTTGTCACCTTCCGTCGTCCGCACGAGTCTGACAGCACGCGATCAGCCGAGAAACCTGCCGCAGTCGCGGTACCTACGTACATCCCGAGGGCGGTGTTTGGTATTGCATTGGAGGAGTCGCTCGACGTCGCCCAGATTGCCAGCTTGCCGGCGATCGTCTTCAGGTGTATACAGTATCTTGAGGCAAAGAAGGCGGAGACAGAAGAGGGTATCTATCGCCTGAGCGGTAGTTCTGCAGTTATCAAGAGCCTCAAGGACCGTTTCAACCAAGGTGCGACATCCGCATGGATGATCACGTAAAGCATTTGTATTGACATACCCCATCCTCGGGCAGAGGGTGACGTCGACCTGCTCGCTTCAGACGAATACTGGGATCCGCATGCCATCGCGGGTCTGCTCAAGACATTCCTGCGCGAGCTCCCTGCGAGCATCCTGACGCGCGATCTGCACTTGCGCTTCCTTTCGGTCATCGGTCAGTCTTCTGTCACGCCCCGCGTGTGGCCTGACCACAAGAGCCCCCGCTGACCTAGTCCGTATCCAGACTTCGTTGATCCCCAGGAGCGGATCCGAGAACTCTCGCATCTTATTTCCTCGCTCCCGGTCGCGAACTACAGCCTGCTCCGTGCGCTGACCGCACACCTGATCCTCATCGTGCAGAACGCGAACATCAACAAGATGACGATGCGCAACGTCGGGATCGTCTTCAGCCCCACGCTGGGCATCCCGGCGGGCGTGTTCAGCCTCATGCTGGGGGAGTTCAACCGCGTGTTCAATGTCGACGGTACCCTCGAGGACGAGGAACAGGAGGAGGAGCAAGCCCCCGCCGACCACGGGGAGCGTGCGCCCAGCCAGAGCTCCGCGCGGCGAAACAGCCAGCACTATTCAGACGCCGCGGCGGATCAGCTGTTGGGGCATAGTGGCCGGGCCCTTTCCAGTACGTATGGCGACGATCGTTCGCCCTGCCGCTTGCTGACCGGTTCGCCATTGTTCTCTTCTGCAGCGCAACGAGAACAGGAAGACAGTGACGACGAGGAGGACATCGTCGAAGAAAGCGGCACGGAGGCCACGACGGAGAACGACGGCGAGTCCGTCGCCGAGTCCGCCAGCTCCGCGTCCCGTCACAGCCCATCCCTCACGCAAGCCCAAGCCCAGGCGCAGGCGCAGGCGCAGCGCTCGCGTGCTGCCCAGCTCGCTGCGACGCGCGGGCTGAGCGTGACGACAAGCGACAAGCAGAGCCGGCGACACAGTCGCATGGTGGGTGTACCAGCGGGGCTGCCCGCGTCCCCGCGACCGCCGCAGCAGTCTGGGGGCGCGCCGTCGATCCCAGAGGGGGCGGAGCCCGTCTCGCCGTCGTCCGGGAATTTGCCGCATCGACCGACATAGGGCTGGGCTGGGATGCCTTTGATGATCACGATGACGACGACGACGTTCAGACGCCACCCGCATCGACCTCGACCGAGGACGGACATGGTTCCCGGAGGGAGCGGGCTGAGGACCGATGCATGGGTGCCGGCCGCGCGAGCACCGACAAGGATGCTTTCGCATTTATGGATTGTCTAGTATACAGCTGCACGTCCCAACGATACCCTCACGCGGTGTATATCCCCTTCTGTTTTTGCTCAGATGTAATTTATAATTCGCTCTCTGGGCATTGTGGACCGACTCTTGACCGCTTGACCGGCATAAAGAGTGAAACGGCGAGCGAGTACTATCTAGGCGGAGAGGCGCCCATGCCAGGAACGCCTTGGCAGCGCAGACGACGTTGCAAGGACGCCAGCGCGCGACAAATCGTCCTCGCTCCTCGCTCCTCCTCGCTCGCCCGCCAACATGGGCTACCGCCAGGCCGCCGTCCTTGTCTCGGTTTCCTTCTTTCTTGGTCAGTCTCTCTTCCGTCACGCTCGCCCTGCCGCTCACCTTCTCGCGTTGCTGCTCCGTACTCCGGCGTGCCGACTTCCGTCCGCTGCTCGTGCACACGCTCGTCCTCGCCTGCCCCATCCTTTCCCCGCGCCCTTACCTGTGCGGCGGGCTGCTCCCAGGGGTGCTCGCCGTCTGCCTGAACGTCGACTACCGGGTGCTCTTCACGCCGCTCAACGATGCCATCGTCCGGGATGGGTTCGAGTTCTACACCACCTTCTACAACTCCCCGCCCGCGATCAAGGTCCGTCTGGGTCGCTTGTGTCTCTCCGTCCGTCCGTCCGGGTGCTGATGCGCGCTGGTCGTATTCCACGTCGTCCTTTCACCCTCCGAACACGCACACGGACAGGCGTTGCTGCACGGGGTGATGGGCGTCGGGCTCGTGGGCCTCATCGGCAAGCTGCACAAGTGGGACGACAGCGCCGTGTTCTTCGACGGCTCGTCCATCGGTGCGTCCCCTCCCCCTGCCCGGTCATCTGAACGTGTCCGCACACACGCCTGCCGTCCCGCGCACGCACGCACGTGCCCGCTGGGCCGTTCCCCCGTCTTCCGCCGCGCGCCGCGCACCGGGGCCCTCACCCTCGTCCTCGGCTCGCCCGTACGCTCGGACGCGGGCGCTGATGCTCCTCGCCCCCCTCCCAGCGGCGTTCGTGTTCGCCATCGCGGTGTACATGACCGTGAACATCCCCGCGTGCCGCACGGTCGTGAACCCGATCGCAGACGTCGACACGCACGCGGACCGGGTCGAGGCGCTCCGCCTGCTCTCCGCCGGGAACACGATCATCATCGTCCTCCTCATCGGCGTCGTCGTCCTCCAGGTGAGTGTGCCTCCTTCCGACTTCCGACTTCCTCCCTTCCCCACCCCCACCGCACGGGTTCGCGACGCGTCCACCCCGGATTTACGTCCGCGTTCGCACTCCGTCTTCTGATACCCGACTGTGACGAGCCGCCGCTGACGTTCTCCCGCTCTCCCTCCCTCCTGCTTCTCGCGCGAACCCTCGGTCCGGTGGCCCACCCCCGCAGGCCGGCGAGCAGTGGGCGCGCCGCCTGGAAAGCAAGATGATCGAAGAAAACGTGGCGGCGGACAAGGCGGAGGCGGCGCAAAAGGCCAACGAGAGGGACGGCGCGCCCGCGGAGAGCAAGAAGGACAAGTAGCACCCCGACTCTGACTCTGAGCCCGCCGCACCGAGATCTGTGCGCACGCGCACACCTGTACGCCTACGCCTACGCGTCCGCGCCGAATGCACCACGTCTATTACGTCCCCGGCCGTGATCTCATCCGTTGCCTGCCCAAAGCGTGTGGGCGGTCGTGGGGGCCTCCCGTTCGCCTACAGAGATCGGGCCCCTCGAGTGGCGACCGGCCGGTAAAGAGAGCGCGCGCCGAGGCACGCCCCCCGAACGATGCGCCCGCGTTCGCGACGCGTAGGTCTGATCGCCCGCCGCGGCTGGGCGAGGGGGGGCAGGAGCGCCCGCTCCCGGGGCGGGCGCGCGATAGGACACCGGGCGAGTATGGCGCACCCGCGCCCGGGGGACCGTCCTGCCTCGCCTGAGCACCTCGCGTCTCGCACCCGCCCTCTGCGTCCGCGGAGGGCGTGGGCACTGGGCGTGCGGGCGCGCGGCGAGGCGGGTCCAGCTCGCGCGTCGCGGCCGCGGCGGGCGATCCGCGACTTCTGCGGCTTCTGCGCTGCGCTCGCGCCGGTCTGGCCACTCGAGCACGCTCGGCCACCGGCGCACTCCGTGTGAGTGAGCATGAGGCGGTTTCGTCACGCAGGCACGAACGAGCCCCCTCCCGTGCGTGAGAGATGTGCGGCGGTCGCTGACGTCTTCAGTGTGGGGACAAGGGGGGCGCAGGAAAGAAGGCGCTCGGGCAGGGCAGGGCAACAGACGTCCCGCGTTCGCGTTCTCGAACCTCTCTCTCGAAGGCCCTATCGCCGGCGCACAGACTCGGCGGGGCGGCAGGGGCTGCGGACGGGCGATGGCACGCGGCTGTGGGATCCGGGAAGGGCAGCTGGGACGAGATCAGAGAGAAGAGAGCCGGAAGAGCGCGAGGGATCTGCGCACTGCACGACACGAAAGCGGGTTGGGACGAGACGCGGCGGGGCTCGCGCTGGGCGGGGCTCGCTGAGGAACGCAGGGGCGACCGTTCGCGCATCAGAGGAGGGCGTTCTCAGCCGTTGTCGCGGAGGCAGTTGGGTGTATGGGAGCCGTGTGGGTTCTGGAAGTGAGAGCTGCCCTCCAGGCCTCTTGTTCTCCCGTCTCGAGGCGTGACGGGTGGAGCGGGAGCGGGAGGAGGGGGCGGGCGAGGGACGGCGAGGGCAAGGTTCGCGGGAAGGATGCCGTCGGCAAGTCCGCATCCACCCGCGCGGGTCGCCGCCCTCCGTACCGCAGACGACTGCTGATTGCCGCGGCGGACTTACGGACGAGAGGCAGGCACTGGGAGAGGCACTCGTCGGCCGCGGCGGCCTGCGTTCGTTCTGATCGTCTGAGCCCTCAAGCGAGGCGTTGAGTCCCGCTTTTGGCAACTCTTGCGCTCGGCTCGTCGCTCTCCGTGGTCCGCCACGGCTGTCGGCCATCATGACGGGAGATGGGCGACCTGCACGCATCTCTCACTCTCGCCCTCGCCTGCCCTCGCCCTCCTCGGACCCACGAATAATTCACCAGCCTCTGCTGCGCCCGGGCACGCCCACGGGTGCTTCCCAATCTACGTTCCCAAGCTGTCGCTGGACCATCGTACCCTCGACGTCGTCCTCGGCACACCGTCCACCCACGAAACGCATCTCATCCCGCGGCCGCCATCAGTGCTTGCCATCAGCGCCGGTTCTCCTCCTCCGCCGCGGGCGCCTCCCGTTCGTGCATCGCATTCGCGGGAGCAACGCTGGCAGGAACCGTCGGCTGCAGGAAATCATCCCGCGCGCCCACGAAGCACCCCGTTGTCTGCGAACACTATCGAAGGTGGTACGAGAGGCTGCTCACAGATCTCTACCCCCACCAGACATCTGCCACAGAACACTAGTGTCACGCCGAACCGCCGCTCGTGTGCACTGTGCCCTCCCATCCATCTTCCGTGCATCCCCAGCCCGCTCGGTTCCCGCCATCTCGCACCTCGTCTGGTGCTCATCATTTCCTGCCGTACGCTCCCTGTCACGCCCCACTTTAATAAACTTACGTCTCCTGCCCACGCGAACGGTGGCCGTCTTCGTTGGACCGCCACGAGCGCGCGGCGGCTGCGTGGCTGCGTCCACGGCGAGTGTTCGCCTGCTGCACGCTTTGCGCTCTCCTTGGCTCCTTCATCACTCCCTCTTCTCCATCCAGCCCGTTCCAAGCCCGCATTTGCCGCCACCGATCGGCCACGCCCAATTTCCGACTTGCTCCCTCGAGTCGTATCTCTTTCCCACATCCCTCAAACTGGACCCCATCACGCCGCCGTCCGTACTCGCAGGGCCCACGACAATCCATCCTCGCTTGATGGTCACTCCTCCGCCTCTCTCGCCTCACTCCAGTCACCGCGCCTCCTGCTCCCATGCCCGTCCGCCCGCATGCTTCTCGGCCGCGCTATCCCCTTGTCTGGGATCTTCGCCCCCGCCAAACGGAACCTCGGACAGGACCGTGACTCAAACTTGCGCCTTCTCCCGGTGCCCCCGACCCCTCTCGTTCCCATCCACGCTCATTCTCCCCCCCCAGATCACGCGCCCACACCCACGGCTCGCCTTCCAGGCTGTCGCGGGCATATACCTCAGTACGCCTATATATATACCGATACCTATTAGGTGTCGGGTCAATGGGCATGTACCAATTCCTGGGGCATACGGGTAGGCGCGGGCCATGCGCGCACAGCGGACGCCTAGAAAAGACTTGCGTCTGCCGAGATTAGAACCCCGGCCTAGCATAAACAAAGCGCAGCTCAGCTTTACAGCTGAGCTACGCGTCCTTACAAGGTTCCCCATATACGTTGCTATGGATTTACTGCACCCATGGACATATTATCAGATCTCCCATCAGTTTGTGTTATCTCTAGATCTCCCGCTTGCACCCACGTTATCTCCCACGCCCACGTCGTGCGCTTCCGACCCGCCCCCCGTGCTCGTTGTCCCCGACAGCGAGCTCGCTGTCCCGCCGCCCCGCTCTCCCTCTCCTCCGTCTCCCTCCATTCTTTTTTGTATCCGCTTGTATTTAAAATGCGCACCTAATGGTATATAATGCAATACCCTCACTCAGTTGGGTGAGCCTGCATTGAGCCCTTATACCCCAAAAATGCGTGCAACATAGGAACTTATACAACTGATCAATCGTCTGGCTATTATCTGCATCGGATAGGATTATGAGAACTCGTTTTTCATCTGAAATCGCAGGTGGATAGCTGGAAGGGTGCAGGTATGATGTCATATGTCATTTCAGGATGACATATTCCACAGTGATATGGTATATACATTTATCGTCATATGGACACCTAGAATCATACATAGAGATCA